AAGGTACAGCTATGGGGGCAAGATTCGCTCCTAGTTACGCTAACCTTTTTATGGGATATTGGGAGGAACAATTTATCTGGACTAATAATCCTTTTGGATCTAAATTAGTACTTTATGCCAGATATATTAACGATATAATTATGATTTGGGATGGCACACAGGAGGAGTTTTCTGGATTCCTAGAGCACTGCAAAATGAACCCGTTTAAACTAGAATTTACACATGTCATCGATGCCACAAGCTTGATATTTTTAGACTTAGAGTTAGGCACGGATCAAATAGGCCGAGTAATCTCGAAGACACATTTTAAACCCACAGCAGGAAATTCATTCTTGCATGCTAAGAGCAACCACCATCCTAGATGGGTTTCTAATGTACCTGATGGCCAATTCGGCCGATTGAGACGCACGTGCACTTTGGAGTCGGATTATAAGACTTTAGGGACAGAGCTAACTAAAAAATGTATAGAAAAGGGCTATGATGTCCTTTGATAAGCACTCCAGACCTATGCCTAAGAGTAAAAGAAAACATAGAGATGATTACAAATTGAGCTTCTGCACACAATATAACGATGGAGCTTTCCATATTTCTAAAATCTTAAAGAAGCACTGGAGTGTCTTGGAAGAGGACACTATTTAAAAAAATTCTCTCCCAAGACGCCCGAATGTAATTTTTAAAAAGCTCAAAGACCTTCGTAGCGTTCTGGCCCCCAACAAACTAAAATCCATTAATATGTCTCATGGAATTAAAGGCCTATTCGGTCAGGTAGGATGTTTCAGGTGTAATGTAGCTAATTGTGGGGCTTGCCCCTTTTTCTGGCATAGAAAAAAAGAAGTGTCCAACTCATCAGGCAAGAGTTATCCCATCAAAAATGTCATCAACTGTGCTACACAGTATGTTATCTATGGTATTCTCTGCCCGTGTGGGAAATTGTATCTAGGACGCACATCTAGAACCTTGAGAACTAGATTTGGTGAGCATAAAAGGAAGATTTTGAAAAAGGCTGACGACCATTCTGTCCCCAGACATTTTCTAAAATCACACAAATCTGACCCATCAGGTTTGAGGGTATTTGGCATTGAGGCTATTCCAGAAAATATAGATGAGGGGATTAGATTCAAGAGGCTGTGCCAGAGGGAGGCTTTTTGGATCTACTCCCTCAATAGTTTCCAGCCCAATGGTCTCAATGAGGGACTCAAAATAGCTTCTTCATTATAATTCCTTAAGAAAGCCTCAATTATCGCTAGACGACCTAGCAGCCTATATGGCCAAACATTTCCCACACTCTAATTCCATTGCAGCTCCTCCCCCCCTTTTTCATGCAAACAAGTTTGCCTCTAGTGTCATCTTCATGTAAACAGTATCCATTTATGACAAATCCTATGTTCCCCTAGGACAAATAACAATTAAGAGAGATCTTCCTTGTCCACATCTAGTTGGAAACCTTACAATTTTACTCATGCTTTTACTCATGTTTTAATTCATATTTTCATCCATTTTTTCATATTTCTCATTTGGCGGCTTGCATTTTATATAGTTTGAGCCTGTGACTTATAGGTCATAGTCCTGAGAGTTGAATATTATCTCATTGGCACACTGTGATCTCATTCAACATTACTTTGTTTTTCCCATTTTTTTGTTATCTTTTTGTCATTCATGCATATATCCTTCATTGTGATTTTATGAGCACTCAGCTGCCAATTATGTTTTTTATATTGATCACTAATCTAGCTACTTGCTATAAGAGTAATTAACGCACTTTTTTATATATATATATATATATATTTTTAATATCATGTTCCAATATTTCTTGTATTTTTAGCAGACTTTAGCATATTTATGTCTAGGTCCTTAGTCCCACACATACAGCTTTTGATATTCTACAGTTCCATTCTGTATATACAAGTCCAGAGCCCGGAGTTATGCTTCACTTGTCTCTCATTCCCCGTTCTCACACAGCAAATTCATGCTGGCTGGCTCGATCGTTCTGTCTGCTGATTGGACGGCGAGCACAGTGTGTGAGAGTGTCAGGGCCGGACATCACCAAGAGGCCGCCGATTGGCTCTTCGGCGTTCCACCCACTTGAGTGGAGTCAGCCGCAAGAATGGATGTATTCAGTTATGACAATCTGCCGCCGCCCACATGGGCGGGTCCTTATACCTTAGAGCTTTGCTCATTGGTCTGCATCAAACACACCTTCCTTTATAAAGCTGTATGAGTGAGGCAATGGTTATGTTCTGACGAAGGGGGCCCCGGAAACGCGTCATCAAAGGAGTCCCGTGCTGACACACAGGCATCTGTGCAGCCGTTTTACAGATATTGCTTAAGCTTGTTTTCTAAGCTTTCATTGATCTACGTTTGTGAGTATGTTTTTACCCTGCTCTTTTTATTCGTGTTATTAAAAAACCTTCTAAACTAGGGTGGGCGCCCTCCTCTTTTCCCTTTTCCCATAGTGTTGCAGCTTCCCAAGCTGAAGTGGGGCAGCACCCCTAGTCAACCTCGATTGCACCAATTTCCTCTGTTGGTCAACTTTAGCGCTTTTGGATTTGTTTCACTGGCTGTATTTTACCATATTATAAGTTAATTTAAAGTGGACATTTACCCCATTTCAATCCCATCAGCATACTGCTCTGCATGATCATATGAAATCATCTTACATTCATTAGTTAAACAAACATATATTTATTTTACTCACTATGTCTTTTTTTCCACTTCCTGGTCCACTTTGGCACAAATGATGTAATGTGCCCAAGTGTTGCATCCTGGGAAGGCTACAACAGCAGAGCATTGCTGGAAATCTCATCTGTAATCTCATGAGATCTCAGAGACAGTAATTTTCCTCCCCTGAGGTGATCAGCATGGTTACATGTTCTAGTCATATGTGCCAGCGTTCCAGGAAAGCCATATTAGTCTGCCCTTAGTTAAAATGGCCACTGTGAGAATGATGGCGTAGAAGAGAAAAATAAGGTACGCAAATGATAAAAATCCTGCAATTATATAGAAGTGTGTGTTTGTAGATTGTCATTACAAAACAAATTAACCTTTGGAGTGCAGGGGCAGTTCCACTGCAAAGGTTCATTTTCATTCTGCTGTTTTGGTCTAGGGTCTAAAATAAAAAAAACACAGCCCCACTTCAAGGATTAACTTTTATTCTGCCTGCAGTTAAAATGTATGCAAAAATCAATTCACAAAAGATTATTGCACAGGTTATCTTTCACTCAAATATCACATATTTTTTACTGGTTTATATTGTGAAGCTCTATTAAGTGCCCATGTCTGGTATTTACAACCACCTCTGCTATTTACCAGATTTACTCAAAAAAGGAGCATTTGAGGTGGCGGTAAATACAAATTTATAAGAAACAGAAACTTCCCATATATAAATCGTTATTTAATGCAACAAATTACCAGTCCCACAGCTCAGCTATGCAATATTTATGTTTTGTGAATTAAATATTTCATGAGAAAATTCTAGTGATGTAAATCATATATATTGGTAATTTGACCCTATTAATTTCCCCATCAAAATATTAAATTCACAAAAATAAATATTGTATAAATGTGAAACAACTTTTATGTCACTCAAAATGAATATTTAAAACCTGACTGCAGCAAAAACGTATTTTTTTGCTGTAGAGAAGATCTAGAACCTCTCTCAGGAATGTGTTGTGACCCCATTTTGGAATAAATGAGGTAAAGGGGACAGTAACAGTAATACAAATCTCACAGATGTTCTAATCTTCTCCTCACTCTGCTACAGAATATGATATTTATTGATGTCACTTTCATGCTCCTCCAACCCCCTTTAAGCAAGAAGGGAACCAAAAGGTGGGCACGGACAACTATAAAAAGTTGAGTTTATGTAGATACCAGCAGCACACAATACAGAGTTGTGACCCGCAGAGGCACCCCCAGGCTGGGTATCACCTGGAGCGGCCGCCGAGTATACCCACTGGGACATCATCACACACGCGCGTAATGACATCATGCACGCTTAACTGCCGGGGCCATCTTGGTGATGGACGCCGGTAGAGAGAGGAGGGGATGTTCATCTGGCGGAATAAGGAATGCTGCCGAGTCCCCTCCTCTCTAGTGCAGCTGTCAGGCCCTTGGTCCATGACCTAGTGCCCGACTTTTCAGAGGGGGTGACACCAATTTGACTGCCAGTCATTTTGGTGTCAGCCCCTCTGTTGGTGTCACATCCCTCGCACTCTGCTTGTGACGCCACTGGTGACCACTAGTAAGAGAGTTGCTCATAGTGACTGCAGCGGATGGTGCTGTGCAAAATCTCAGGTATTTAAAGATAAGTCAGCAGGAGATAAGTCACATAGGTCAATAAGCCAATGTTTCAGGGCCACCCAGGGTCCCTTCCTCAAGGCAATACATTGACGCCGTGTCACCTTGAGGAAGGGACCCTGCATGCACCTGAAACATTGGCTTATTGACCGAAGTTCTATGAGGTGTCAATGTCTGTAATTTACATCTCCCTGTGGTATTTACCTCCACCTGATGGCTATCTTCAACTACAAAAACCTGACAGATGGTCTAACCTTTCCCCCATGTCTAAACTTTAAAAAAAAACTTTGTGGATTAACTTTAGATATTAAAAGTTTCCATTGTTCATGACTTATTTTCTGCTCTTCTTAATGTGTACTTAAAGAAGAACTCCAGGAAAAAACTTTTATTAACCCTTGCAGTGGGGCTACCCCCATACTGCAAGGGATAACTGCTCCTTTTTGTCTAGGTGACAAACAAAAAAATAAAAGTTATACTCACCTAAACCTCAGATTGTGATCTTCCATCTTGTATCACTTACTGAATGAACCCCATGATATTTTCCCTTGACGGTTATTTTTATAAGAATGGAAAACCCTCAGAAAAGGAAGTCATATATATTTTTCAGCGGTATGATTTTATTAAAAATCCAAGTGGGATTTATAAGCAATGTTTTACAAAAACATTTTCTAATCAGCCAATCAACTAGGCTGGAATACTGGAGCTCAGAGAAGGAATGGGAGCAGCGCCATGACATGAATAGCAGGATTCCAGACAACAATTGATCCCAGGTTGTTCTCTCCTGTGGAAAAGAAAAACATACATCTGTAAAGACACTGCACTTAGTTATTCTGTAGATTTGGGGCCATACATTTTTACCAGACCAAGAACAACTTAGAACCAGAGTCAGCCTTATGTACCACAATATAGAAGTAAAATGGTACTTTACCGCGAGGGTCCTGGTGATCATTCCCTTCATACTGAGCGCTAGAGATGGCCTGACGTTGCTGGTTGCTGAGATGCTCATACTGCTCAGGAGTGACTGCCATGGCCTGATCACTGGTGAAGGAGGAGAGCTGAGCTGGGCTGAAGACAACCTGTGAAGACAACCATCTTATTATAGCGTATAGTCTCAATTCAATGAATATAGGAAAGAAAATAGTATTTATGAGGGTATAACTATAAATCACAGGGCCCCCCATAAATGGAAGGTGATCTTTACTAGTGATGGGCTGCCTGTTTGAATCGAACATAAGTTTGATTCGAACGTAGGCTGTTCGAACGTGCGCCGAACTTTGCGGGATGTTCGCAGTCTGTTCGACCGCGGAACATCCCACATCGCACTGCGCCCTCTGAAACTGTCATTGGCTACAGTCTTGCACCTGACCACAGGTCAGGTGCAAGTCTGTGCCAATCAAGGCTCAGTACACATTTGGAGCCATGACTGGGCAAAGTCATGATGACTTTACCCAATCATGGCTCACAGCTAAGTCCCTGCAGGACACTACAGTATATAAGGCAGCTGACACCGCGGCCCTATGTAGTGTGTTGCAGGAGTTAAACAGATAGAGTTCTATTGAGTTAGTGATAGCAGATTTATTGAGAGTTATAGCAAAGTTATAGAGAGTGATAGCAGAGTTATAGCAGAGTTACAGAGAGTTATAGCAGAGTTATAGAGCGTTATAGCAGAGTTATAAAAGAGTTATAGAGAGTTATAGCAGAGTTATAGAGAGTTATAGAGAGTTATAGCAGAGTTATAGAGTTATAGCAGAGTTATAAAAGAGTTATAGAGAGTTATAGCAGAGTTATAGAGAGTTATAGCAGAGTTATATTTATAGAGAGTGATAGCAGAGTTATAGCAGAGTTACAGAGAGTTATAGCAGAGTTATAGAGCGTTATAGCAGAGTTATAAAAGAGTTATAGAGAGTTATAGCAGAGTTATAGAGAGTTATAGAGAGTTATAGCAGAGTTATAGAGTTATAGCAGAGTTATAAAAGAGTTATAGAGAGTTATAGCAGAGTTATAGAGAGTTATAGCAGAGTTATAGAGAGTTATAGCAGAGTTATAGAGAGTTATAGCAGAGTTAGTTATATATAACGGAAAATTGTATACTTACCTTCGGTACCTTGGGTGGTTCATACACCAGAGCATAACTGCCATATCAATTGAATTAGAAAGAGCAGCTGAAAGAACTGCTACTTCAGCCCCAAATCTAACATCCAGCTTATAGTGTCGCATAAATGTGTTCGGCGTGTTCCAGCTTGCCGCTCTGCAGATGATATCCACCGGCACCCTGGCATAGGTTGCCCAGGAAGCAGCCATCGCCCTTGTGGAATGAGCCTTTAGGTCATGGGGAGGGGAAAGACCTGCGACCCTGTACGCCAACGAAATGGCCTTCACTATCCATGATGAAAGAATCCTCGGAGAGGCCGCACAAACCCTTCTTTGAGCCGCTTGGAAAAATGAACAAATTCTTGTCCTTCCTAAAAGACGCGGTCCTTTGCAAGTACGTGGAAAGATTTTCCACCAGGTCCAACTTCTTCCACTGCAAGTCATCCACCTCCGAGATTTCCGAGGTAGGAAATGTGGAGAGCTCAATCTCCCAATTCACATGGAAACTAGACGACACCTTCGGAAGGAATGACGGTACCGGCCTCAGCAGGATACTGTTAGGAAGTTGAACTAAGAACGGCTCCTCCATGGACAGAGCGTGCAACTCTGAAACCCTCCGCGCTGAAGCAATGGCCAGCAAGAATGTCATCCTCAGTGTAAGATGCCACTGAGAGCAGGATTGGACAGGATCAAACGGCCCCTGAAGAAGGCTTTTTAGCACCAACGGGAGATCCCATTTAGGAAAGAACACTTTTCGAGGTGGACGAATCTTCCCTACTGCCTTTAGGAACTGCACTATCAAAGGATCAGCCGACCACTTCCTTCCTGTCATGGCTGTAAGTGCTGACACGTGTACCTTCAGGGTGTTGAAGGCTAACCCCCCATCTAATCCCTGCTGCAGGAATTCCAAGATCCTGCCCACTGGAGGATCCGAAGGTTCGAAACCATGTTTCTTTGCCATATCGATAAATCTGGTCCACACTCGGGAATATGTTGTGTTAGTCGAACCCTTCCTAGCCTGCAGGAGGGTCTGAATCACTGACTCCGAGATCCGCAAGCCCTCTAACCGATGCCTTTCAGCCTCAAGGCCATAAGATGTAAGCGGCCAGGCTCGCGTGGCAGAATCCTCCCTGTTCCAGAAGATCTGAGTTCATCGGGAGAGGGAGTGGGTCGAGTATCTTCATCTGCCACAACAGCGGGAACCAAGGACGTCTTGGCCAAAACGGAAGTATCGCAATTGCGTCTACTTGCTCCCTCTGAATCTTGAGAAGTACCCTCAGGATCATGCAAAACGGTGGAAAGACGTACACTAAGTGGAAGTCCCACCTTTGCGCCAGTGCATCCTGCGCTAGCGCCCTGTGGTCGTATGGGCGAGAGAAGAATCTTGGAAGCCTGCGGGTTTCCGCCGTGGCCATAAGATCGATGTCCATTAGACCCCACAGATCAAAAATCGGAGTCAGAACAGAATGGCTCAGGGCCCATTCGTTGTGGTCTAGCAGCCTCCGACTCAGTGCCTCCGCCTCGATATTCTCGGACCCCGGAAGGTAACAAGCCGTCAGGTCCTGAAGGTTGTTCTCCACCCACAGAAAGATCTGGGATGAAATCTTCAGCAGCTGCCAGCTCCTGGTGCCCCCTTGATTGGAAACATAGGCCACCACAGTTTTGTTGTCCGACATTACCTTGACAGGCCGCTGCCGAAGGATAGGGGCGAATGCTACTAGGGCCTCCCGAATTGCCGCCAATTCCAGAAGATTGGAACTTGCCGGGACTTGCCCCACCCATGGAGCTTGCACTGTGTGCTGCCCGCACACTGCTCCCCAGCCTTTGCAGCTGGCCTCGGTAGTGACAATCAGCCAGTCCACTTCTCCCAGAGGCTTGCCGGGTGAAAGGTTGGAAGCATCTGTCCACCAGGCTAGAGACAGGCGAACTGCCGGGGGGAGACGAATCTGCTGGGGAAGGGACAAGGGATCCCGAACTGCTGGGGGAAGATGAATCTGCTGGGTAAGGGACAAGTGATCCCACTGATCCAAAAAATTCGCCTGGAACCGCCTTTTGTGCCATCTCGCCCAAGGTACCACCGGTACCATCAACTCCAGGAGGCCTAAAAAACTCATAGCCTGCCTTGCCGAAAGTTGCGGAGTTCGTCTGAGTGCCCGGGCTTGTTCCTGGACCCGTGAAATTTTCCTCCGGGGAAGAAAAACTCTCAAAATTGAAGTGTCGAACCGAATTCCTAGGTATTTGAGACTCTGGGATGGGATCAAAGAACTTTTCTCTGTGTTTACCAGCCATCCAAATTTCGCCAGGGAATGGAGCACCTGATCTCGATGTCTGCAAGCTTGACTGGCGGAGGAGGCGAGAAGTAGTAGGTCGTCCAGATAATGATAAATCTGGATTCCTGATATTCGCAGAAGGGCTATGTGGGCCGACAGAACTTTGGAAAAGCTCCTTGGGGCCGTGGGCAGGCCAAAAGGAAGGCAGCGAAATTGGAAGTGACTGTCGCCCACTGCAAAGCGTAGGAAACACTGATGCCCCAAAAATATTGGAACATGCAGGTAGGCATCGGCCAGGTCTATAGAGACCATCCAGTGGCAGGCTTTCACCAAGGCCAGAATGGTACCCAGGGACTCCATCCTGAACAGCAAAGGTTTGACAAACGTGTTCAAGAACTTCAAGTCCAGCACCGGTCGAAACTTTCCCGAAGCTTTCCTCACCAAAAACAAGGGGGAGTACACCCCTAGGCCTCTTTCTGCCACCGGAACCGGAACTATGGCCTGAGAGTGCAGCAATTCGATTATATAGGCCCGCAAACAATTCCATTTCACCTGAGAGGATGGTATTCTTGTCTGGACCAAGACGGACAAGGGAGGTCTTCTTGCAAATTCGATCTGATAACCCCTTTGGATGATGTCCAGGATCCATCTGTCGGGAATGCTGTCCGCCCATACAGCCTTGAAGAGAGAAAGCCTTGCTCCCACCGGACCTGAACGGGCGGGCAAGCTTTCACAAAGTCTTCTCACCCTGCTTGGCCCCCGCTGGGCCCTTTCCTCTTGACGACTTGGAGAAGGAATTCTGACCCGACCTCCAGGAGGGACGAAAAAACTCCTTCCCTGGCCTATAGGATCTTGCATCCTTAAACTTGTCTCGTGAAAAACGACCAGAACGAAACGACTGGCACGGTCTGCGTCTATCCTGGGGCAGTAATCACCCGACACCCATTTTATCGCCTCCTCCAGGGTTTTACCGAAAAGGAGTTTTCCAGAAAACGGAATTAGGCAAAGACTCTGCTTAGATGCCGCATCCGCAGTCCATTGCCTAAGCCACAGGTCTCTTCTTGCTGTCACAGAATGCAACATGGCCCTGGCCTCCAGCTTAATTTGGTCCACCGCTGCCTCCGCCACGAAATCTGCCGCCAACCTCAGATTACCAAACAACAGGGACAATTCGGGAATATCTTCCTCCGGGTTGCATCGTACTTACAAGCGCGACACCCAAGACCGAATAGTGCATGAAACCAAAGTCAAGGAGACTGCTGACTTACATGCCGCACCCGAGACCTGAAAGAGCCTCTTTAAGTCTGACTCCAACCTTCGATCCATGGGGTCACGGAAAGAGACCGAGTCATCCAAGGGCAAAGCAATATGTCTGGCCAAGCGTTGCAAAGCCGCGTCAACCTTGGGAACCAACTCCAAGAGCTCCACGTCACTTGTCTTAAAGGGATAAAGCTTTGCTACCCTATTAGAGAAGGTCTGTCGCCTGTCCGCTCTTGCTCACTCCTCCTCGATAAGTTCCTTAATCTCGAACATAAAGGGAAAAGTAGGCAAATCCCTTTTTAATTCTGGAAAGTACTTCATGAGCTTCTTCGGGGGAGTCGAGGACTGCTCCTCCCACCCAATTGCTTCTTTCCCCGCCTGCACCAGAACTGGCACCTGGGCGAAATCAAATGTATACGCCGGTTCCTCCGGCCCATTGACCGTATCTTCCGCTGAGGATGGATAACCCGTCTGGCCCGATGAGAGCTCCCCCTCCTCCTCTGAGGCACTAGACAACCTTCACCTTGAGGTTATAGGCCTGGAGTGGCTGAACTCCCGCATACTCTGGGAAACGGCCTTTTGAATATAAGAACGCACCTCTTTTACCTCATGGTGCTTATCCTGCGCTACCTCTTTAAGGCAGTCTCTACGGAGCCGTTTGTTGGGCAGTGCTCTTGCGCTGCATGACTAACAGGTATGAGTGGAGGATCGCCCTTGAGCCGGGGTCTCGGGAGGACTCCCGATCCCTGGATGAATTGTCCCTCCTGGGTGAAGAATGAGCGCGGTGATGTTTTTTAAATTTATGCTTCTTAGATGTATGCCCGCTAGGGCGGGTAAACTCCTCCTGGCTATGTGCCTCATCCGAGGGTAAAGCAGGGTCTCTTTGCAGGCTCCTTCCACTGCAATACAAACATCCATAGTTGCAGAAAGCTCTCTTTTTTTTTTTTTAGAATTCAAAAAAAAAAATTCATACCTTTCCATGTTATAGGTGCTCCCCCTGGTGGGCTCAATTGAAATGACACGAAGATTCAAAATGGCAATCTAAGAGCATGGGACAGAGAGAGAGAGAGAGACAGAGAGATCTAACCTCCAGTACAACACCTCAGCCTCCCCCCTTACTCCCTCAGAAGCAGCATAGAAGGACTCACCCAATCCAGGCAGCAGCACTGATCAGCCGAACAGCCAGCACATGCTTCCCCTGCTCTCCCAGTTTCAATTTAAAAGAAAAGACGTTGCTAGGCAACGAGGGATGCCGCTCGACGCTGTAGATGCCCAGGAGAAAACGGCCCGCCCCCTCCTTCCCGGCCGCCAATCGCGGAGGCGCCGGGAATGACGTCAGACGCCGAGGGAGGAGTCAACCCTCGTGCAGCCGTGCCATCGCCGCTCTCCTCACACCGCCGATGCCCTCAGCCGGACACAGGCGCTCTGCTGGCCCACCAGGTACTAGAAATAAGCAGCCCTGTCTGCCATGATCCTGCCCAGCACCATGGGCGCCCACCATAAGGCAGTTTTACTGCCCGACCGGCGGCCATCCGTCCAGGAGAGGCTGAACCTGAACGGGACAATCTCTGACCATTTAAGCCAGACTCTTCCTAATCCCATACACCTTTGATGGCCAATAACTTGCATATAAGCCCTCTTAAAGGGGACCTTCATTTTCCAACGTTCGACCCCCATTGACTTGCATTACGTTCGAGTTCGTATTAGAACTTTTCGGCGTTCGGGTGTTCGAATGCGAACCAAACACGGGGGTGTTCAGCCCATCACAAACCTTTACCAGTTCAGTTCCTGCACATGTATACCCCTTGTGGACCAGAGCAACTTTTTTACATTTCAGCTTTTGACCTATCGAGTCAGTGATAACTTTGTGAATACTTCATATAATGAAATACAGTAAACTCCCCATTATCCGGCATTCAAGCAACCGGCACTCTCAAGCAACTGGCAAAAAAATCAAGGATATTTTTTCTATTTTTTTTTGCTGTTGTGAGATAAAAATGGGGAGACTAAAAAATGTTGTTAGCAACTACATTTATTTAGTTGCTAACTAAATTCATTTTTTACATTTTGCTGACAGCCAGGGGCCAGATTCCTCAGTCAGCAGCAGAATGTAAACAATGGGTTTCAATAGCCAGACTGCTATTGGCTATTTCAAATTGCAATAGCCAATAGCAGGCTGGCTATTGTTCCCAGCTACGGAAATCCACCTGTTGGCTGCGAAAGATAACCGGCAAGTGAATGGGGCTGCGGAGGGAAGGGGGGAGGCGCCACGAGGTGGTTGCTTGAGAGTTACTATTAAGTCTCAATCAAACAGAAACTACAGTTATCTGGCACCAACCGATCCCCATGGGTGCCATATAACTGGAAGTTTACTTAATACATATATTTAATTTATTTATTTATTAGCCAATATTAACTTGCAACAAATATTTTATATTTGAAGTTGAAACAAAATAAAATGTTTTTTTTTCTAGTTTGACCATTATTATATATTCTTCTGTGTTTAAAAAAACATACATTTTGTTTTTATTACAAAGCATAGCAGTCATTTACAAATGAAAAAGGCTTCTTTTTTTTACTTTGCACTTTTTTTTTGTTTTACTAAGGTTTAAATAGGATCACTGGTTATGTGTGTATGTACAGTATGTATGTATTCATTTATTTATTTATGTATTTATTTATTTTTACTTGCAAGGTTGCTTAAAGGGACATCATATCCAGATGAAAAATCACATATCGCCATAGCATTTTCAAATGCTGAAGTGGACTTGTACTCAGATGACAACCCTAAGCTATCCTGAAAATAATGCTCTTTTAAGCGAATATGAAAGATGATTTGAAATAACTGTCCTGTGGCAAATGTTGCTGCCTTCAGCAACCAGTTGTTTGGTCACTTCCGGGAGACGTAAGGAGCTGATTGGCTAATGCTGGCTAAATGTATTTGCAGACACTATGGGGTTGATTTACTAAAGGCAAATAGGCAAATAAGCGTTTCACTTTGCAAAGAAATTTGCACTTTGCAGGGGACGTTTTTTCTTAGTTTAGTGATTAAGGTGATGCTCTGCTGACTTCTATCACCCAATCATGAAAAAATACTCTTTTATTTTCCTTACACATGATTAGGTATTCTTTGCAAAGTGAAATTTCACCACATTCACCAACCTAAGGGGAAGCTTCCCTTGCAAGGTACAAATTACCTTGCAAAGTGAACAGACTATTTGCCTTTAGTAAATCAACCCCTATATGACCAGTGTCATGGCATTGGTCAAGTGCTCTGCAGACAAAGGGAGCCTGATGCATAATTTACATCAGGATAGGTAAGTCCTTCACTGTTCATGAATTCAATGGAGAAGGGCTGTCAAGGTAGCGAGAGGTTGCTATTTGACTGCAGCCCTATTTTGACAATAACTGACATTTCTCTTGATGCTTAATGAATATCTCACACTGAATTCAGCATCTGAAGAATGATGCAACAAAAACGGTCAGGGAGTATTGCCACTTATACCTGCCATGTAGATTTGTTTTCCTTCCTTGACTGGCATGCCATTACATGTAGCACTTAACATGGACCTGAACTCAAAAAGTGAAGGTTTATTATCTTACAGGTGATATCTAGAAGTGTTAATTGAGCTTAAGCAGTACCCTGAAAAATGTCTTTACTTCCACCTGAAAAAGAGCAGTGTGCTTACTATGCCTTGAACCTCGCAGCTGCACCTTTGCAGTGTAAGATCATCTAAGGCACCTCTGCCTGTGACTGCTACTTATGAGTTTTGAAGTGAGGTTTTATAAGATCACCACTGCTTGCTGCACTCTTACACTGCTTTGCTGGAGAGGAAGCTGCACCTGAGGAGCTGCCATGCAAGCATCTCCCTTCTTCTGCTTCACTCATTCTGTGATCTTGATATATGTGCATGTTCTGCTTCTTAATTATTACCCCACCAACCATAAGAAAGGCAGCTGTGATATGAGAAAACAAAGCCTTGTTCCTCTATCGAGATTGCTGCCTCCCCACTGAGGCACAGTGTAGAACAAGGCATGTTAAGTCAATAATGTGAAAAAGATCAGCTGCAGGGAACTTAGAGGCAATACAGGTGACTAGTTATTGCCCTCTTCTTGGTTTTTGGGCAAGACCTCCAAGGTATAAGGTTGCTTTAACAGAAAGGGTAAGGTCCCTAAAATATTTGAGAAATAGTTTAATTCTTTGTGGAATGCTTTGTGCCTGAAGTAACCATTTGTATGCAAATTTCATCTGAGTTTGGGTTGGACTCCTTGTACCTAATGTTGTTTGCTAGTAGGTTGTGGATTCTTCTGTTTCTGTATTGCTGCATCTTATGCTTTGTATTTGAAAATATACAAAAACTTCAAGAATTTACAAAAAAACTAAATTCAGTATGTTCTCAGTAAAACTGGGCTATAGCTTACCTTTAACCACTTCAAGACCAGGTGTTTAGACCCCCTTCCCGGACCAGGCCATTTTTCAGTATTCAGCGCTGCGATACTTTGACTGACGTTTATTCCGTCATGCAACGCTGTACTGAAATGAATTTTATACCATTTTTTGGGGACAGATAGAGCTTTCTTTTGGTGGTCTTTAATCACCACTATGGGTTTTATTTTTTATTATAATTAGGAAAAATTATTGAAAATTTTGAAATAAAAACGTTTTTTGTAACATTATGTTAGGAAACATTTATTATTACCCAGTTTTTTGGTCAAATATAAAAGATCAGGTCACGTCGGTTAAATAGACACCAAACATGTCAAGCTTTAAAATTGCGCGCACCCGCGACATCGCAGAAAACGACGGCAACCAAAATTGGCCATAGGCGACACTTTAAACGTTTTTACCGCTCATCAGTTTAGTGTTATCAGTGATTGATGGACCTAAACTTATTGCTCTCACTGCAACGTTCGCGGCGATATGTAACATGTGCGGCGTAATGGGCGCAATCGTCTTTTTTGCACGTATGCGCCCCGGGGGCTAATATGTGGAAATACTATGAGAAATACTAAAGGCTAATATTGCTGGCGTTCTGAGAATGCTAACTGCTCGTCTGTTTTTGTCTTCACTACTTTCTCAGTCACTAAATTGCAGCATGCATGCAGATTAGAAAGTCTTAAAAATTGAAGGCATTACTAAGGATCTTCATACTTATTCTCAGTGGTGAATCAGGAAAAACTGAAGCCATCGGATCAGCGGAACAGCCAGGCAATTAGCATTTCCAGAAGGTTAGGCCAGCAATGGCAACCTCCAAATCTCTGGAGATTTCATGCAAACTAATAACAGAATTGAAACCTCTCTAATTTTTACAGAAATCATTAGTTAAACAAAAAGGTTACAATTGCCTTTTATTAATATGAATTATTCAGTACATTTACTTACAGCAAACTTTGGTGCTGGAATGAGGGATATTGCGTCAGGCGTTAATCCTTGAATCTGATCTCTTATCAATGAAGATAGCACAATGTCCGGAAGACCAGCTAAAATCGACAAAAGATAACGTTAAAGTGGACCTATCAGTGACTTTGCATGAATGGCATGTTACAATTAGTGATCAGCCTGGATTTGGCCAATTCCAGTCAAAACTATTACTGATACTAGCGCCTATAAAGCACTAAGTCAATGTGGCACTGACAGACATGCATTACAGCATACTCCAATGCACAGTAATGCACTATTGTGCATTGGGTATGTTACATCTGTAAAAATGCTGCATGTCCATTTTTTGGTCTGTTCCTGTGTGGTGGTAGCCCATTCGAAATAAAAGGTCTGCCTTAACGCAATGCACGTTACCTCATGACAACACACAATGTACGTACGCAATGCAACACGTGAACTTCTATGAGTTTTTTGTTTTGTTTTTTGCTTTAAGGAGATTTCCTCTCACTTTCTGCCCTGATGACACCCAATCATACCCTGGCCCAGTGGTGTAATGATAGCCAAAATGATAGCCATAAATTATTATTATAATTTATGATTTCGTGTTTCAAACTTGACCATACCCCGGATGTCATACGGCACTCGTTTGGACAGATTTAGGTGAGTTATTCCTAAGATTTACTAAGAACTACAGGCATACAATATAAAACAACAAATTGCCATGAAAAACAAAGTACCGCTTTGGCATGCTAAAATCCTGCATAATCAGACCGCCAGAGAGGTTAAGCCATGCATCTGTACTTCCAGATTATTGTGCTCCTGCCAATATCTCGCTTCCTGCTTACTTATCTCACTTCCTGCTCTTACTGTGATACAACATCATTCTCATACTGCTACTCGTGTACCGACCCTTGACTGTTGATTTACCAACTACCATTATCGCCTTCCACTTCAAACGTGATACTTTGGCTTCTGACTTTGGCTTAATCACTGACAACGCTTCTCCCTGCTCCTATACTGCTGCCGTCTGCTTGTGTACTGAACCTTGCCTGTTATACCACAAATTTGCCTGCTGCTTAAGCTACTGGACCAGATCACCAGACAAGAGCACTCATATCACACTCATCACAGAGATTCACCTCCGAGTGTTCCAATCTCTGTAAAGATCTCAGGGCCCCATCGGCTCACCACACCAAATGCTGAGTTGGACGTTATTAGATCCACTAAGGTTTCCAGCTGAGGTTCAGAACACTTTAGTTTCAGGGTTCCCACAAATACGGCGGCCTGGCTGCAAGAAACAAATATAAATATCTGTTACAAAGTAATATGGTACATTTCATCAACCAAGATATACATCCGGGTAAACTGACCTGAACTCCTGAATATTCATTCTCCTTAATTCCTTTACTCCCAGACCACATATCAGATGTCCAAGAGCTGTTAGTTCCATCAGATCTAAGTCTAATGCCCCTTTCTTGTGCTCCCTGAGAATGTTGGACACTAAGGTCTTCATCTGTAGATAAAAGCTCAGATTATAAGGATGTTCATTGTCAGTTGAAGAGAAGTCTGATAATTGGAGGAGAATAATAAACAAAAGCACACAATTCTTCATCATAAATTGATCATAAGCAGCCATGATGTTTACAGCACCATAAAACAGTTTTTACTTTTTATATGTCAGACCTGTTTAGGGGTCCAGCTGTTCATTCTGCCCAGAAAAGACACGACTGCCCAATCAGATGTATTCATCTCATTTAAGTATTTTTCATTCATGTGAGTGATAAGTTTTCCCATCTGCAGAATATGCACCAGACTCATACTCTTCACTGGGCCAAACAACTGTAACACAAACACCAATACATGGAGCGATCACTGTATAACATGAGCCCCCCCCCCAATAGTCCAAGGAAAGTAATTTAGGAACATAACTGTGTTCCATTGCTTCAGGTCTAATCTGCCTTTCTGCTTGAAAACGTTAAATGTACTAAATCAGCTTTCTAAATAGTCTTTGTTTCCCTCCTTTGTCCTCTGGTAATGTTCAAATAGTACTCAACATGATTAGCTCAAGGCTTGTAGATAATTAAAATCGGTTGGACATTTTACCTGCTTTATTTTTCCCAGAGCAGTCTTTGCTTGGTCAACTGAAAAATCAGCATCTTCAGTGATTATATTGAGACAGCCTTCAAAATCGGACAGAGACATGCCGCTGATCTGGGCTGCACTCCATGCTGAGGGAAATGTCACTCTCATGTCTGAACAACTAGGAATCGGCTCTGCAGAGATAATCGCAACGACATATTAAAGCAAAAACCTTTCATGCTTCAGAAGAAAATTAAACCCATTTTCCGACCCAGCACCAAACTTTCCCAACCCACCTCAGCTTGTGAGCAACGTTCATACAGTATGTTACAAGTGGCAGTCAGCTGAATTAAAATTAGACATCCTTAAAAAAATCTTTGTAAATAACAGCACATAGAGTTACAAATCACATTTGTCTCCTCAGCAGCTAGTCTATACTGCAGTCCAGCTTTAAAGATGATTGTGTTTTATTTATATCAGACAGATATCTAGTTTTCTTGTTTCTGCCCCTGTGGCTGCTGTGTGTCCCTGTTCCTGCAGCTTCCTGGGATATGTGACTGGGATCTCCCTGGAGGCTACCAGAACAGGACATGTCATTCTTACATAGGCAGTGGGAGTAGGGCCACCAAGATAAAATAAAGAAACAAGAAAGCCCCCTTCCACTGTTTTTTTTCTCTTTCAAAACGTTTTTAGTAAACATTTTAAAGAACAAGTCACAAATGGCTGAGAAATGTTCACATTTCACAAACAGAGTATAAATATTGTACAACCATCTCATAGGTTGAGGAAAAGAATTCCAATGCATCTTAGCTGAGTATGAGATATTTCGAAGCTATGAGAAAACAGGTTTGCTTAATAAATAAAGAAAAAACAGGGAAAATAAACCCCCATCCTAAAACAAACACCTCCGTAGAGGAGAACGAAACAAGTAAAAGATAACGAATTAGAAAAGAATGAGGTTAGAAACACAAAGAGAAGAAAGACAAAAATAACAGGGCAAACCCTTCTCTGATAAAAGGGGGGGGGGGATTTGTAGGGAGCTAAAGTGGACCTGGGTAGTGAAGGTCTATTTTAATATCAAATATGCAGACACTGAGAAGTAGTCTGTGGTTCATACATCTGCAGAGTTCTCCCATAAGATAATTTTACATGGTTTTATGCCTTTGCCCAGTCCATGACGCACAGTAGATTGTATTGTCTAATTTCCATGTCCCCTTATATCATTGTTTCTTTGCCTAATGAGAGTCTTTGTCCATTGAATTGCACTCCAACTGAATTACAGCCTTTGTTTACCTTCAAGTTAAATGCAAGCTACAGATATATTGATCTTTACATGCAAGCATCACACCAGACCAAGCTAAAGCATCTAAATGATGGTAAGATTCTACATAAGCAGAATTAAATGACTGTAAAACCAAAGCTTGGTAGAGGAGCTCATACTTCTGTGCCTTACCTCTGCTGCTGCGATAACCATTTTTAGTCAAGGATGATGCCAAGAGCTTTTTGATGCTCCTTGCTCTGGCCTGAAAGTTAGAATTTTGTTTGGTGCAAATCATTCCAATCTCGCTATCTTCCCATTCTCTCTGACTCTCCAGAAGCCATTCCAAAATGTCTCGTCTCAGCACATCCTAGACACAAGCCAAGGTAAGCATGCAAATCCCAGCTAACAGCTACAAGATTTATTACTCGCTCATTAACAGTAAAACATAGATGTGGAAATGTGTAATATTTTCTTTTTGTATTGTGAGTCAGACACCTTTGTTTACCAGGAATTTACTGTGCATCTAATTAACCCAAAACGAGTGGTCAATATATCGAATGACATTGAACGGACGGTTTACGTAAAAACCCAATTCCAGCCAAAGTTTTTTTTTAAAAGAAAGGGTTGAAACTTTGTGGGTTTTTTTCTCATCTTTGTCCATACTTCTTACTTCCTGAACTAGACAGGATATCCGCAGAATCTCTATATCAAGGACAGCAATAAAATTACTTTTAGTTCACAGGAAAAGGTTAGAATCTCTGTCTGGTGTTTTGTGATGTCAAAGTACCTTTTGGGAGAGTCTCTTCACTTCCCATGTTGTCAAAAGTGCACTTTGCCAAGGTATTCCACATTTAAAAGAAAAAGTTTATACTGCAGTCCAGCTTTAAAGATGATTGTGTTTTATTTATCTATAGGCCATTCCAACTAACTGCTACTGTTCCTTAGGGCATTCTTTATGGAAATACCTCTATAATTAATTCCTGAGAGATAAACCCGGCAGGAATCTTGCTCTCAGCCTCAGATCATGGTTGTCAGTAAATACCCAATGGGGTATATAAAACATTATACAATTGTTCTGCTTTAAAGAAGAATTATCACCAGAAGATAACAATCCTTGTAGAATCTCACAGGGTACCCAGTGCACATAGCACTTGATCATGTTGAGATCCATGCAGTGGTTTAGAATAAAATTACTTTATTTTTCTAATTGTGCTGTGCTCCATTCCAGGCTGAAGACCAATTTATGGGTGTTACTATGGCAGAGCAGCAGCACAGCACTGAGCCCCACCACCTCTGTAAGATGACTGATTTTGTACATTATGAATGAATAATCAGTGTGTTAATGCTTGATCTTTAAATCAGAAGACAAACATGAATATTGAAATCGAGAGGTCCATCTGTAGAGCCTTTAGTTTCAAATGCACTCATCCTGAAAGGACATATTCAATTTCTTACCTTGTGTATAGAACTGAGATTTTCTGGGGAAAGATAAAAAATCAGCCTCCCAATTTGTTCTATGTGTTTGTGAGTCCACTTAGATGGATGTCTAAAGAAAAGTTGATAGGAGATATATATAAAGTCAAAGATCAACTAAATTGATGGATACAATTGAGCCGACTGCTATGAGAAATACCTTCACTTTGTATTAGTCATGATGACACTAATGGGCATATGAGGTTGAATGGCTCACTTTGATCTGCATTTTTTTCCACATTTATAAAGTTTCCTGGCAGCATGTACTGAGGGTAAATGCTAAAATTTTCATATGCAGGGACTCTAATGTGAAGTGATCTAAGAGCAGTGATGAGCCATGTTGGTCTGCCACATCCAACAATCATTGACTGATGATTGATTAATCGCTGATAAAATCAGAGGGGTACAAAACCAATTAGGGCTGACAGTGGTTACATTTGCTAAATTACAAACATACAATTGTTACTGAGACTTGGATTTCCCATGTAAGAATGGGCATTGAAATATATGACAAATGCCTGTAGGCTTAGTGATGTGAGTACAATGGTGAATGAAGGTGTCAAATAGGCTTTATAAATATGGCAATTGGAAAATGCTCCTTTAGGTACCCCAAGCCAAGAAAGCTGCTAAATTGATGATTCACAGCTTTATAAATATTCTTATAAAAATGACTTATTTCGCTGTGCGGCTTCTGTAAGCAACTGTACAATGGGACAGATGAAGCACTTATCTTATACACAAAGTTGTATTTCATATACCCCAGCATGTCATCTTCCACTAGGATCTTCCCCAGATGTCTACTGAATTCCTCAGACACACAGTACATCTTCAGATCATCAAGGTGGAGGAGCAAGTGTTTTCTATGTATGAGAGAAATGTTTTCTTCTCCAATAAAACCAAACAGCGGTCCCAACAAATCCATTTCTTCTGCAGTTATCATTACATTCCCAGGGATTTGCTGAAATAATATTATAATATTTAATTGCTGAAGAAGAAACTCACACTGTGACCAACCAATACTACCATACTAATAAAAAACAACTAAACCTCAGCTGTTAAGGCTAGTTTACCTTCCCTCTGACAAATACACTGAGTGGCCAGATTATTATGACCACCCCATCAGTACTTCGTTGGGCCACGAGATTACTCCACGAGATGACTTCGTTGGGCCGCCTCGTGACTCCACGAGATGTTGAAAGGTGATGCGAGGAATCTGACACTGCACTGTTGCCCTTCTGTTGTCTTGTACCAGTCTTGCCACTCTCCGTTCTGCCCTAACATTGACTAGTCGCTGACGGCCACAATTTGCACGTTCAGACCCAGATTTTCCGCTGACAGTCCAGTCTTTAAACACTTTAACAACAGCTGCTCTTGAACATTTAACGAATTCTGCTGTTTTGCTGATACTCGCTCCATGGCTCAGAGCGCCAACAATCATCCCACGTTCAAAGGCTGTAAATCGCGTTGTTTACCCATATCGTCAGAAACAAATCACTTCTACTGTCGTGGTAAACAACCTGCTTCCCTATTTATAATGGTCTGGCCCTCTAGCAACTTCAGCGCGAAATTATAGCTAATTATAGCTAATTTGTCTACAAACGTCAGGTGGTCATAATAGTCTGGGCACTCAGTGTACAGCAGTGTATACAGTATAAACATTATGGTGCCCATATATGAAAGCTGGGCAGCTATAATTAATGATTTGATCACATGCAAAAGGTTTGTCTGAAAGATCCTGACATTTGACACCCACAGTCACACATCATTTTGAATCTGATCTTGGAGCAGGAACTATAAAGGAAAAAGTGTGCGTTAGCTTTGGCACTCAAAAGGAAATGTAGTTTAATTAATATTAGGTTAAGGGTTAATAAGGGTTAAGATTATGGTTAAGAAGAGTGAAGTAGTACAAAACATCAAACATGCAAAGCCTTTAGCTTTATTAGCCAAAAAAGCTTGTGGCTATATGGCTATAGTTACACCTCCAAAGCCTGCACAAAAGGGTATACTGTCAATGAATACTAAAAGGTAGCCCTGATGGCAGGCTTATATGCATGAATAAAAACTGTCATTGACATTGGCTCCTCTTACCAAAGCATACAGTGCTCTTTGAGCCAATACAGATTTCTTGTAAGTTGGGAGTTCCATGAAAGCTTTGGGATATTTATGAACATATTCCAGGAACAACTTCAGTGATTCATTGGAAAGTCTTTCAATCAGCTTTAACCTGGAAAAAATTAAATAAACTGAAATCATGTTATCCTGATGCATATTGCAGGAGTGACACAGCTACAAAATCCTATTTAAAAACCCATATTCCCGAATTCCAGAATTTGTAATCAAATGTAAACATTGAATAACATCAAGGAAAGAAAACTCATGGCTCTATAGTTTGGAGGTGGGCTTGTTGACATATATTTTATTGCACAGCAACGTATTTGCCACACAATGAACTTAGGATAATACAATATACAATATATATGTAGAGGTTGATTTTAAACAGAATGACACTAACCTTAAAAGAACAATTAATTATAAGAAGTGTTATCTTTACAAGTTGCGTGATTGGCCAGGTTGTAATCCACCAATCTGCTGGAGGATCTATAATAGCTTTAACAACTAATCAGCGTTGTTTCTCTATAAACAATTTGCTTTTACCCTCAAACATACCAGCTGGAAGAGCAAACACATAGCTCGGTACTGCCATGGCGAGAGGGGCACAAGTATGCAAGCTGTCCTTACTGATGCCAGCTAATATGCTCTACAGTACCAAGCAGGTGCTTCAAGGTATCCCCTTAAAGAACTCCAGGAAAAATGTTTATTAACCCTTGCAGTGGGGTTATACTCTCCCCAAACTCAGAGCCAGCCAGCTGTGACAGTGCTCTTTCCTGCCTGGTTCCTACGCTGCAGCATTGGAACATTCCTCAGTATCCTCACATCTATACACTGTGTATAGAACATGATGATTTATGGGATACTTAGACCGCTTAAACATGGCTTGTTTTTATGGGTAATTGCTTTCCGCATACCGTATCATTATTCCTGTTATTCTTCATTAAATATGCCCACAATATCCTGGCTCCAAGATGCCTGTGAACTTTGTAGGTGCAGGGCAGTATTTGGACATCATGCCTTTCTAGGTACAACCGAGAATGACATCTCAATTTTACAAACTCTGCCCCTTGTGTTATGTGATTATTTTAGTAGCATCTCTAGTTACAATTTGCTATTAGAGGGAGCAAATTGACTGCTTTATAGGCAAAGATACTTTTTTTTACCCTAAAGACCACCAAGCAAGAGAAAGGAGAGATGGTTTCATATTTCCTTAACTACAAAGATCCTTTTCACTCCTCTAAACATCTCAATTTCTCACAATTTGCTAATTTTTAGGCTCGGTGTTATCCCATGACCCTGCTACCCCAGGTACTGGCTCAAAAGTGCCTTACTGAAAATACAGTCCTGAATGGGTATGAAATACACATGAATAGAAAAGTTTAAAAAAATTACGGGAGATCAGTAACAAACTCAGGGCCCATCCAGCCTGTGTCTTCCCAGGATAGCTCAGGCCGCTTCTCGATTTCTTCTAAGATACACTTTCTCTAGGGAACATGAATACACATATTTAAAACCTGAAACCACATCAATGACGCAAAACTGTATCAATAACATAATCATTCTTACAAGACTTTTGCGCAGACCACTAGGAATCCCTTGTAGATACTTAACCACGTCTCTGATATCTGAAAGAGAGTTAAGTTGCTGCAGGTTGTCACATTCAATCCCATTAGCCAAAGTCCCAAGGGTCCTATGTACAATAAAAGCAATATGAAAAATGTTATTGTCTTGGTCCATTGTTGACCTCTTCAATCTAGACAAAACATAGCTGAACTATCTTACAGCGTAAGTTAAGGCAAAATAAAAAAAAACTATGTAGTATATCTATGTAATACATGCACATTTGCCCATATTTTATCCTATTTAAGACCCTGCAAGTACTGAAAAAGACCTGTTGATCTGCCAGAAATGCACTCCGCTCCTAAGCCCTGTTGTGGGCTGACAACACGTAGCATTTTTGTGGACTTAGTGGTGTCAGCCCTCCCCACTGTCTTTTGGTAAAGTACTCAGCCACTCCAGCTCGCAAATATCTGCAACATAAAGGCTAATCCAAGATAACAACTAGGAGGCTTAACAGACTCTTCAAGATAATACAGGAAATATAAAGAGGACAAGGGCAGGTTCTGAAGGCTCTGAAGGTTTTTGCACTTACTTTATAAAACAGATCTAACAAAATGCTTCTAATGGTTTAATAAATTGACCAAAATGGTAGCAAATAAAGTTCTCTAACAGTAAACAACAGTGTAGTTTAGAGCTTCTAGTTAAACTTGAACAAAGAGAAAGCTTGCTGCTCTACCTGGTGGTCATATTGTTACTCTGCACACGACTTACAGAATAGTATTCTTGGTCAGGTTTGCACCAGCCTGAATCTTCCTCCAGAGGAATTGGGTCTGTGGGGAAAAAACATGCTCTGTATGCAGATCTTATTTTGTTCACAAAAAGGCAAATGCTTATCAAACCTCAGCAGTTTTGTTCTCACATACCTCAGTAATAAAATCCTGTGGAGAAATGTGCTCAAATGTGTGTCACAAAAAAAAGACTTCATCCTGATACAAAACAGTCAAACAACTTTTAATCTAAATATGCCAACGCTAATATATCCCTTATTAATTACAGTATAAGCAGGGAAAAGAATCCAATCTATTCTTAAAGTGACATTAAACACTCAGATTTTTTAACATAAAACAATAGTGTAATGTGTGCCTTACTGTAATCCATGGTAATTTCCCTTCTCTTTGCTGCTCTTCCTTTTAAATCTGTATCGGTTCTCATGCTCTGCAGAACTTCTGTGTTGCAGCAGACTGCCATGTCTCAGGAATGGATACACGGTGTCTGTGTGTAGGTTTGTATAGGCTTGAAACCTGAGCCAGCACTACAGGAAGAGGCCCAGAGCTGAAAAGGGAAGTTCTCCCCAAGCATGAGAAGACATGAGGATTTAAAAGGAAGAGCAGGAAAGAGAAGGGAAACAACCATGGATTACAGTAAGGTTTTGTTATTGGTTCATGTTAAAAAATCTGAGGGTTTAATGTCACTTTAAATCTTAGATTTTTTAGGGCATTTCACATCTTAGATGGTAATTAAACTAATAAATCACATTCTTCCATATATCCTCCAGCCTCCCTAATAAAATATGTCTGCACAAGCAATTACCCGAAATTCAGCCTTCATCTCACAATCTGCCCAGTAACCTGTAACCAGTCCCAGTAACCTATGGAGCTGACATCTTGGTGTTGATGTCTGGCAATTGTTAGGGCAAATAGGCAAACTACTGTCAAAAAAGCATGGGAAGCTGAGCCCTGCCATGGAAGACATGCACCAAGGCACAAAAAAAAAATACTGTACATTGGGTAGATGCTCTTCTTATGCGGTTTTGAGGGCAACACTGAAAATACAGAAATCCTTTAAATCGCATGCTTGAGGATCCCTTTAGCTGCATGCGGTGTTAAGGAACAGTACAATTTTTACTAACAGTCTCAGTGACAGCATATACTGATCATATATTTGGTTATGAAATAGATATATTCTTTTACAAACAGCTTGGATTACATACAGCAGCAGCAGCCCAATATGATTCATTTCAGTTTGAAAACAAGGTTTTTCAGGTCGGTAAATTTACAGCGACAGATTATTTTTCATCAAAGGGTAATAGACCCGTTTGACTGGCAGATTGGCAAGTCATTCACTGTGGTTGTCCCTGTTCTCACTGGTGCAAAACGGTCCTGCCACTGGTCAATTTCTATTAAGCTTTCATTAAGAATTAAAGATCTGCAGATGATACAGCAGTGTAAAACTGGTCAGAAGGAAGACATTGTCAATGAAGGAGAATTGACTGAAATGTGCTAAAGAAAAGGAGTACAGACAGGTGTTATAATGCAAGAATTAGGAGACAGCAGATGACATAGCAGCCTAAAATTGAACAGCAGAAGGACAATTTCAAAACATTTTTTCCCCAGAGACAAAGATCAAGCACTTTACTACAATAATTTACTGCCAATGATACAGTAACATTGCCCAATAGTAGCATAGTTTTACTGGCAATAATTGGCAACAATGTGCTAGAGACAAAGAGTACATGCAGGTGTTTTACTACAAGAATTAGGAGACTGCAGATAACACCTATAGGCCAGCAACAGGACTGTTTTAATCAGGGATAATAGGTCTAACTGGCGTATGTCTAACATGTATTCTAATTGTGTGATTTGGGGGGTAAGGGAGTGAATGTGATGGTTCCACCTCCTTTAGGCAGCTGCATATAACCCATATGTCCAAGAATTACTACATTTCTGTGCCCTCAATGGATGATTTAGAAAAAAATTGCAATTGATGGGACAGCACTTAAAAGTAACCACTGACCACCAATCAAATACAAAATAAAATGGAAGACAAAAAAGCCCCCAATAATAACATAAAAAAGTCAGCAACATTGTTGATTACCCAAAGAGCTAACAATTGTAATTAAAGTACTGTTTCCTAAATAACCCTTACCTCTCCCTATGCAGTTTGTTAGCTTTCCATATCCTTTGCCTACAGCAGCTTCCAATTCATTGACACTATGTTGCTCTGTGCCCCCCCCCCCCCCCCCCCCCCCTCATTATATAAGCTCGCTTTCTTTCTCCCCCCCCCCCCCCCCACCCCCTTTTATAGTAAGAGGTCTGGCTTAACCAAAAGCCTCCTTATTGGTCCTTCTTAACCTGCTGGCCATAGTTTAATGGCCATGCATTATGGTTTAAAAAATTATCAAGAACAAAGCAGCTAAAATGTGCTGGGACCATACATTTTGAAGTTCCAAGATTCACTTCAAACCCACAGTAGTAGCAAGCCCAAACCCCATCCCTAATGGTATGACTCAAAAGCTTGCGCTACAAAATACAAGTTAGTCAATGGAAGGTAACTCAGTCTAAAAATCGAGACAGGATTACGACATTGTTGCCTGTTTATAACAGACATTTAGAAATATACACATTTGATTTGGTTAGAAGATGAGAGCAAATAAATTAGCCTTGTCCCTCTAGGAAAAACATCAAACCTGCTGTGGCATCCAGTCCAGCTCCCCATACAGACTCATGTTTCTGAACAGTATCTGTGTGTCCAAATGCAGAAGCTTCAGGGGTGCAAAGGGAAGAAAGCAAGAAAACTGCTCGGGCCAAAGCTCCACATCATGGATATATTTCTAGTTCAAACAAAGTATTTATAATTACAATGTGGGCCATACTCACATGCAATATATACATCAGAGCAAAATTAAAACTTTATTAGAGTGGTTTGGATGAATGGGCTGAAAGTTGCTCCAACAATTGCAACAGAGCAGATCAAAAATGATCCCATACTGAAACGCTAGAGCAGTAGTTGTAATCCTCAAAGATATCCACAAATATATGTTTTAACTAATTTTTTGACCTTGAGAGGAAAATAAACAGCACATTAAATTTAGTTTTAATTTCTTCTTTTAGTAGAACAATATTGCAAATATAACCTAACCATGACTGAAATTTAAGGTACATACCAGTTTAAATTAAAAATAGCTTTAGCATTCTTGATCACTCTACTTATTTTACAAGGGTGTAATTATGGCCATAACACACCATGAGATGGCAACTAGACCTAAAACCACAGGCGGGCTTCCACTGTCTGGCTACACAGTGATTTATGAAGGTAACGATAACTTTAGAAAGTAAATCTGTGTAGATGTATGTACAGTATATATAGCTGGAAACATCCATACAATTGTTATGCCAACAAACAGTCATCAGAGTCACCAGAGGAATGGCCTTTGAGATGGAAATTATAGAGGCAGGGAGACATTTATTAGTTTAGCTGTGGGTCCCCATCAAACATAGTTATGGTCCTGTGTTAAACATTCTTTATGCTGGAAACCTGGTGTGCTGGAACCAGCAACTACTGAAACTACTTTTTTAAAAAATTTTTGGAGAGTAGATAGGAATTAGAACACCTGTCAGGTTTTTATTGCCGTATGTGTCCCCATTAAGGAGACTGACCCTCTATTTGTCCTGGTGACCGTTATCACTGAAAATGAAAGAACATCCCAAATTTTGGGTTGTCACCAGAACAGGAATATGTGGGAGCTCTTCCAAAGGAGCCCTAGTTCTGGTGAGTTGCTGACCATCAGGGATCTCTCTCTTTGGAGGGATTTCCTCTCACTTCTTGTTGTGGCTATCAAATAGGAAGTGAAGGGAAATCTCCCCAATGAAACACAGATGGCAAAAAAAAGCTGACTTGGGTTATAACACTCTCTTATTCTATACAAAACTTTTTTTTAAAAAGTTTTGGCTTCAGTACTACTTTAATTTTTGACACAGTGGTGTCATCTTAATTTCGATAACAGAGTGGAAATTCCACTTTTAATAGTTGTCACTGTAAAAATTGCCTCTATTCAAATATATTTACTCTGCTCCTGTTCTAGTGACAACTATAGTATATTAAATGTCCCCTAACATGAGAGCAGTTCTAACCCTCCCTTACTCTATTCATAATTGGAAAACAATTTGGCTGGAGTTCCTCTTAAACAAATGTGCAGACCAGGAATTTCAAGGTCGCATATCAGTCCATAGAAGCTGTATAGCACTAAATCTCATGACCCAAGGATGCAAGTCCATCCAGGAGATCTGTGAGTTGGTTACTGCGCCTGGTGGAGCTGCGATGGTAGAATACCCAAATCATCAGTTAGTATAGTATATTTTCAATGAGTAGATATTATAATTCATGCAGATTGTTATATGTCTTTCATATTTAACAAGCTTGTCCCATGTTTTTATTATTGTAAGATTTTTTGTAGATTAGCTACTAGAGAAAGCTGTTAGTGGAATTACCCTGAATAAAGGTGATTTACTAAAGGAAGTGACTAGTCATAATATTTATTAGGTGGAGATTCTCAACTCATTTAGTAGTTTAATGTTCTAGTTGTAAGTATTTATGCAATGTATTGTGGGGACATTCTTAAATGCTTTAGTAATGCAGCCTCTTTGGGACCAATAAACTATGACTGGCAGTTGTAGAGAAATGTGAATCATAACTAATTGTGGTGATTTGTTTTTTTCACATAAACTATGTTTCAGCTCATATAGTTTAGTAGGAGCAGAAACCATCTTGACTGTCTAGCGCCATCATTCTCTTGCATCACTAGAGGGGAGGCAATACAGGCGGACTTTAGTTCTGTTTTGAGCTTTGAAAGATTTTCTGATGTTAATACAGTTTTAATGTTTCCTGCTTATCATTAGCAGTGCGCTGGTTAAATTGTTACCTGCTCTTAGTGAACTGCTTGTGTTAAGCTGCAGCAACCAGATTTAAAATACAATGTCCCAATGCAGTCCGATTGATTGTTATGGGGCCATACAGACAGTTCTTGTGCTTGACATATAATAAAAAAATAGGAAAAGCATATTGTTGCTGAGTTCATGAACTGGCATGATCACATACCCGCAATGACTGCATTATGGCTGCCTTCTGTGCAGCACTCAGCAAAGGTAGAGAAGACCCCAGGCACTGGCAAGCTCTAGTTAGGAGATGGCTTGGCAGAGAACGCAAGTAATCTGGGCTAAGGACAGGAATCAGGGAGTGCAGTCCACAAATCACTCGTTCTGCAACCTGCAAAATTGGGACAAATACATCACAATATCATAATGTCATGACTTTTATTCCAAAAACCGGCTATTCAAAAAAATTAAAACACATAACTGGTGTACACGCCCAACAGCAAAAGGGAATCAAACTTCATTAATCATCAGCTGATAAGCACAAGCAGTACTAACCAACTGTTTGTGCTGGCGTTTGCCAGTGCTGGTCAATTTATAAAAAGCCATTTCAAACAAAAAGAAAACCTGAAAAAAATGACTTAACTCTGACACGTCTGGAAACATGTGTGGCAAAGCTTGAATTTTGAGCACCCAGCTATCTCAGGAGGCAGCGGAGAGGCATTGTTGACATCACCCCTGTCTCCTAGAAGGGTTGGGCTGATCTGTTTGTTTACAAACAAGACAATTGTATTTGAGGCAGGAGGGTTGTCTGGCATGGAAGGTCCACTTTAACCCGGACCCTAAAACCTAATCCCTCCCTTTATATGCATAAACTTCAAGAATTGTTACTTTAGTCCTAACAGCTAACCGTAGAGCTCAAATGTAACCAACAAAGCAAACATAGCAATATGCAGCTGCAACAGTGATTTGTATTATTGTGAATAGATTACCTTTATTGACTGTATTGCCAATTATTTCATAATTTAATTAGAAAATCCACTATATGATCACTGTTATTTTGTTCAACTAAGTGCAAGAAAATCTATGGAAGGCATTTTGGTGACTTTATTGTATACCTCACAGTATATCAGTCAAGTGCAGACTATTCAGCAAAAGGCCAAAAATACAGATTGTTACACCTCCCTATTAGCCCACATATCTGGCACTGCAACAAAGTATATCATGACAGAATGTGTGGTTATGCAGAATTCAAAGTGCAAAACAGGAGGGTTACATATACTTACATTAGATTTTGGAGTGACATGACTGAATAGCAAAAAACCCTGAAAGAAATTAGGCAGTTATTACTACAATATATAATCACATATAAAATCGAAAGATTGACTGAAATTCCACACATATTCTAGGTTTGGCTCATTATATTTGAACTTAATAAAAGTCCATCTATGGACATAAAAACCAGACCGAGTTTATCTATACATGACAGATTCTAGACAGATTTCAGTCTCCTGCTCAGTATAGACGTGCGGTCAGGGGAGGCAGGTGAGGCAGAGCCTCACCTAGAATTATGGAGGAAAAAGCTGTCAGCTGCATGTCTGAAGCTGACAGCTTTTTCTCCATTCAGATCGGCATTTAACAGGTCACACAGCAGGGAAATCCTCCCCACTGTGTAACCGGTCACGGAGCCTCAGCGGCAAGGAGCAAGTGAGGGACAGGGAGGCTCCTCCCTGTCTCCTCTCTTCCTCTTTTACACTAGCTTGGGGACGGGTGGTGGTCGAGGCTTTGTCGGACAGGGGCGGAGCTCCGGCCGACAGGCACGTCACTGGTATAGAGGGCTCATTGCATTGCTTTACTCAAACAGGGGCCTACTAACGCCATCTCCTGTTCAGATTCCAAAGGAAGTGACTTACCTGCGCAAGTGAAAGATCAGAGGCTTGTAACTGCGCCAGAAGATTAATCACATGACTCTGTGGAACTGTCTGGAAAAATGACAATCCCAGTTCAGAAAGCAGACTTCTCCAAGTGACCAGTTCATTAAAGTCCAATGAATGCACATTGACTTTTCTCAACACATCCACTAATGAATAAGCCAACTGAAATATAAACATGGACATTTACTAATTACACATGAAACTGAAATGATGCAATAACAAGGGGCACTTAATTTGTACCCAGTACAATGATGGTGACTAAATTAGCAAACAAATCACAAGTATATGTAGGACACTTAATGGGAAAGAACCACTATGACCATTCATTTTGCGGTGTGGACACCGGAGACACCGGAGGGGATGGCATCTTTTAGCATGCCTTCCCTCTGTACGTAGGAGACCCTCCCTTTTCCTCCTGACTCCCGATGTCAGGTAAGTAAAGGCGCGCTTCCGCCTCCAAAAAACCAAATGTTCATTATAACAATAATGTTGATTATTTTGTAAGTCCTTTATAACAGTTATGTATTCAGTAAGTAATTATGTATTTATATTAGATTACCCCCCCCAGATCCCCTGAGGAAGTGCAGAAGCAAAAAGCATTGGGATACCATCCCTGACAACATAAGCCAGTGAAATACTATTGGATTGATTACATATGAAGAAGGATATAATGATACATGGACATTCTACATGAATTTTCATTATGGTACTTGCATGTACTCTGGCAGGATGGAAGGGATGTGGTTCTTTGATTAGGTTTTAACCTGTTTGCTGATCACTAATTTGTATATAACATGAATTGAATTAAAAGTTCACATATTTTTTTACACTTGTGCAATGGTGTGTGTCTCTAGAAACCCCTATTCTCTAATTGTGTGTATTGATTGATTTAATAAGAGGGTTTGAGATACTTTTCAGACTACACAGGTCTAGGTTATATGTTGTGAAAAATGACTACCCATCACTACTGTTGGTTATGTGTTTAGATGAAGCACTGAGATCTTGAGGAATGCTGAATTAAGTTTTACTTGCTTTGAAGAACATTATATTAGAATACAGCATTATGAGGGAAACATATAGATAAGAAGATGTCCTGTGTATCATTGATAAGCATGCATATAGAGAGGCTAATATTGCACTACACTGTCATCTACAGCTCAAAAGACATGTTGCATTTCCAACATCATCTTCATCATTTAGAAGCAGAAAACTAAAGATTGTGGAACTAAATAGCATAGAAAACACGTACTCTCCCATGGTGGGACAATGTCTTCTGTGAAATGCATTCAAGCAGCTTCTTCTCCAAGTCTCCTAGTGGGTAGTGGAAGGGCTGAAGGCTTTGCAGATCCTCGTATGTTAAATAGCAAATGAGACCCTCAAGGCTTTGTACATTTCAGTATAAAGAAAAAGACAATTAAACAATCAAGATATTGGAGATTGCATGTAATAACCAGACACCCAGTTTCCAAGTATGGTAATTTGTGCTTGACTAGTGGATGTAAATATACATAAAAGGCAAAGTTACCAAAAACATCAGATTGCTTTTACAAATTGAAATGTTTACATTTAGAATTTCCAACTCTGCTCAGATTCCCGTTTTTATCCAAACTACAATATGTGCTATACCTCAAAATTGTGTATTGGCTGCTCAATAATGACAAAATATAGGGTATTATTTACTGATTCTACTGAAGACCCTAAAGCATATCTAAAACACAAACTTTGTTTAGTTTTGGATTAAGTAGGTAATGCTTTCATTGCCCCATTATGGAGAATTTCCTTCACTTCCGGTCTTGAAGAGAGAACAGGAAGTTAGAGGAAATTTCTGCATAGTAAGGTAAATCCACTCTTAGACAGTTGTCAGTAGAACAAATGTCCCTACTGGAAGATTTCGCCTTTATTTCTGTTCTAGTAACAATTCAACATTTTGGATTTGTCATTACTTTTAGTGCAGGTGACAATGGTCACCAGGACAAGTAGAGAACATGAACACCTTTTTGGCTTTAGATGTATTGTAAGTGAACTTTGCCTGTATCAAGTGAAACAGAGAATTAGAAAGATTCTAATATAATAAACTAAGAGACTCTTGAGACTGAAGAATGACAATGGCTGGTGCTATCTATTTGGTTACATTAAAAAAAACTTGAAACCACAATCAGACCTCTCAAATATTGTAAAACATTCAAACATTATTTTAGAAGAATAAAAGTTAAAATATAAGGAGAAAAGCAACAATATATGTAAAAGGTATACAGTAGATGTACGTACAGAACAGACCTGACCCATTGATCTATATTGAAATCTTACAAGATTAATATAGTCAGCCAATAAGATATGTCATCGTCCTTCTACTGATCCTGGACAATGTTCTACTACTGCACTTGAAGGTAGCAGGTAATGCAATCCCAGAGCAGGAAATTCATTCTTCAATAGCACTATATACCTCTTTATTTTGTCTACATCTTGGCTCTGGTTCATCAGGCTCTGTGCCACAAAGCGTCCATGCATCATACCCAGGTTCACATCTTTCCAGCCATCTGCCAGCAATTTAATCTGTTGGGCACAAAACAAGTGATTAGTATGACTGTCAGTACCTCACTAGCGTCTCCTTTATTCTGTGCTTGTACACTTCCCTGACACAGTAATCTTATGTATAATACATTACACAAATCTACTGTAATGATCACTTGGACATCAAAAGTGCAGTCAGATTAAATTCAGGGAGCAGCTTGCCCACTCGCCTTGTAGGAGATACCGGAGTAATTAATAAATCAGTTAAAATACACAGGACAAAGAGTGCTGCAACCGTCAGCAACCAATCAGATTCTCTCTAAATAAGACAAGTGAATTGTGGTTGGTGCATCTGTTTTTGTACTTTGAAACTTGCCTGTTTGAAATAAAAGGTACCTATCACATCTGGGTCAAATATTTACAATAATGAAACCATAGTGAGAGTATTGCTTGTAAAAATATATTGTAATATTAATAATAATATTTTTTAGTGGTTATTGATGTACAAGGAACTCAGGGATGTGCGGTCAGGGGAGGCAGGGGAGGCAGAGCCTCACCTAGTATTATGGAGGAAAAAGCTGTCAGCTTCAAGTCTGTAGCTGACAGCTTTTTCTCCATTCAGATCGGCTTCTATCATGTTACACAGCAAGGAAATCCTCCCTGCTGTGTAACCTGTCATGAACGGGGCGCTGCTTGTTAATTACAGGCAGTGCTGCATCCGGCTTTTGACAGGTAGTTCGGGGCTTTTGTGAGCAGGGGGTGGGGCTTTGGTCAGTGGGGCTGGACTTTGGCCAGCAGGGGGCGAGGCTGGTGGACATAAGCCCCTCAATAGAAAAGGTATACAGTAGATATGACGAGCTAAGTCTTGTCTAAGACACATTTTCTGATCTTTTCAGAAGTGGAGGGGCTCCATGGATTGGTAATGCTATATTTATCTAGTTCATCATCTGTAATACCTACATACTAAACCTAAGCTAAGTAAATTCCTTTTATTATTCTACTACTTGTGAATTGTTTAAATCATTGCACTACACACACAAATTTGCAATGTTACGCACAATAACTTGTTAAATAAATACATGTAACAGGGAGTTCAGTTGTTTCAGGTGGAAGATATTGGTATCCTTCTCATAAAAGAACACCACAAAGAACTTTAAAAAATGACATACTGTATACAGTATAATATGCTAGAGAGCATAAAGGGGTGCAGAATATTAACAGCTTGTGGAGAACTGAGTTTATCATTAGGCATCTTGTGAGCCCATGCATTTTTATATATCCAGTCACTTGTGATCAGTATCAACAATAAGTTATGACCAGATTAAAGGAGGTTTTATATATTGGTGTTCCATTTTAACTGGGCAGTAACTGGTTATTAAATGGACACTTGAATAATAGCTTGAAATGCCAGGCTGCGGCAAACAAAGTAAGCAGAGTACTGCCATGCATTAAACAGGGAATGTTCTGTAGAGCCGAAGCGATAATTTTGCCACTTTACAGATCACTGGTTCGGCCTCATCTGGAGTATGTGGTTCAGTTTTGGTCACCTATCCAGAGAAAGGATGTCCCGGAGCTAAAAAGAGTCCAGAGAAGGGCTACTAAACTAATTAAGGGTCTGGAGGACCTAAGCTATGAGACAAGGTTGCTAAATTTAGACCTGTTCACACTAGAGGTGAGAAGATTAAGAGTGGACATGATTTTAATGTACAAAATGTTTGATGGTGATGGCAACATCAGCAATAGACTTTTTACTGTAAACTCCCTCTTTTCAGTCAGAGTGGTTAGATTTTGGAACTCTCTGCCACGAGCAGTGGTATCAGCAGAAAGTATTGAATCATTCAAAAATCAATTAGATACCATCCTAAGAGTTCGTAACATACAGGGGTACAGGCACTCTTAAACCCAAGACCACACAGGGACACATAAACACACATGCACAATCATACATAGACACACGAAGGTTGAACTCGATGGACCTGTGTCTTTATTCAACCCTTAAATACTATGTAACTATGTAACTTATAAACATGTGGGAAAATCTGAAACCACATTGAAAAAAAATCCCCTTTAGCTTACCAGTGATCAGTAGAGATAATTCTGACATTGCTGTGTACTGACCTGATCAGAGCTCAGCTGGATGAAATGACAGAGTGGCAGATAGGGAAGTAGTGGTTGGATGGATGTGAGAAAATGTGGCGGCCACGATGGGATGTCACCAAACGCGTTAGCCTGCATGAGACGTTTCACAAATGCACGCTTCTGAGCAATTTTCATATCTGGACTGTGGATACTGATTGCTTCTAATCTAGAACAAAAGATGTATTTTCAGCATATTGTATGCGTACTGCTTACATCATAAAAGCCCACCAGCACTGTATATACAGATTGCCCCAACACTACACTGCAACAAAAAGAATTCACAATTGATTTCCCTGTTTAAATTCATCCAAGAATTACAAGACAATGGAGACATATTGATCTATGTGCACGTATTCATTAAACAGACTGCTTGACCGTTTGACTTACACACTCTGATTGGCCAGTAGGCTGAGTGGAAAGCTGACAATGTCAGATATGGACATAAATGGTATAAACTGAGATAGATCCACAAATATTTGGGGTGTTAGGCGTGGAAATTTTTGGATAACCATTGATGTCAGAGTCTCTAATCCTTTTTCATCTGGTTGTGACACCTGGAGAAAGAAAATACATGTAGTTATCATAAAAGACAAAATCTATCATACATTTTATCTGGCCACATTATTTTACAGATCGCAGTAGCGCATACACATACTTTGTTCCACCACTATTATCATGGATCTACCAATAATATGCATTTCTCTAGTCATGCTTTAAGACAACATCTGTAAACTCCTGCAAAAGGAATATCATTTGCATGTGATGAAGGCTAAAGAAAGAAACAAATGAATCCAAACTCAGCCAGTTCAAATTCCTAGATGAGTTGTTCCAGAAAAGGTGAAAGTGAGACTTGTGAAGGAATCAACATTTAGAAGAGTAAATGAATGTCTTACATACACAACAGAGTATTTTCCTGGATCATCACATGTTGTTTCATGTTACAGTTGTAACAACTAGTTCCTGTGCATAATAAATACAGTCAGTTAATTTAGGGGCCATTCAGATCGGATCCTTTGCGTTGCGATCCGCTGTGTTGAGATCCATTGTGTTGCGATCTGTTGTTTTGCGATCTGCTGCATTGCGCTCCGCTGCATTGTGATACGTTTTTCAATGGATGCTAATGGAAGTCACCGAAAAATGGATGGGTGCGAATGGGGCTAGTTCACACTGCTCTGCTCTGTTGCATTACATGCATTACTTTTTTTCCAGCCCAATGTAACGAAACGGATCCGGCGTGAGCTAGCCCCATTCACATGCATTCATTTTTCGGTGACCTTCTGTTAGCATGCATTTATAACCAGATCCCAACACAATCAATCTGGAGGAAAGCAAAAGGTATAATTGCAAGTCAATGGACCATCTTGCAATTTTCTTCCAATTTTGGTGTGAACGCATCCTAAAGGATATGTCCAGCATAACTTTTTTCTTAGATTTGGATAGAGTGGGGGAGGGTTAGAACCCCTGCCAGGTTTACTCTGCTACACTGGTCCTATTAGAGAGATTTCCTCTCATTTCCTTTTCTGCTAACAACTTTTTACCAGACAGGAAGTAAGTTGAACTCTCCAACAGCAACACAGAGATAAATAAAAATGCTTTTCTTTATTAGAGTAGGGAAAGGCTAGTATGGCTGTCAGATTTTTATTTCTGTCTGTGTCCCTGTTGCATATTTTTCTTTTCTTCCTATCTAACAAAACCTTTGTCAGAGAGACAGGGTAAATCTCTTTAACAGAGTGCCAGATAGCAGTGAAAACCTGATAGGAGTTTTAATCTTTCCCCATTCTATCCATAACCAGAAAAAAAGTTTCCAGCTCAACATATACTACAAATGTGTCTATTAAATCTGTTGGCCCCAATTCTGTCATATTCCCTCAATACTCTCATATCAGGCAGTCATTCCTATGCAATAAGTATTATTTATGATAACTTGAGGTTACCTTATATCACTTTGTCCCTACTCTAGCTCTTCTTCCATCTCACCTGGATTCTGGGCCATGACCGGTGCATCAGAGAGAGGAACCTTTCCACTGCATCGTTTTCTGCTGACATCAGGACTTTCTGGAATCCTTCTTTAGGCATGTGTAAATATTCCTGTGATACAAAATACAGCTGTACGATGATGAATCCTTAAAAACTGTAATGTAACGTCCAAGATGACCATCAAGTAGAAAAGGGGAGTCTACTAATGATTGAAGCAACACAGGAAGGGAAAATTATCTTCTAGTGTACTTCAAAAGTGTATTTAAAGCCAATCAATTTTTTCCACAGTTTTGTCAATAATAATGTGTACATAATTAGTGTAGCTAACAGAAAGTAAATGATAATAAATTATTTTATTTGTCCGGATTTATAGGGTATATCATATGCCTGGGATTTCAGTTTATTTTGGGAGTTATAGGTCACGAAATACAATATTAGTGTGGAACAATTTTAGAATGTGCTATGTTTGTCTCCTAACTTTTCTAGCCATCTCGGCACTATATTTTCCTATAATTTTTTTTATTAAATGTATTTTTTTTACTTTGACTTTGTTTAACTTTTTCCTTTTTTAAATATTTTAAAACATTTTAAAAACTTAAAAAACTATTAAAACTTTTTTGAAATAAGGGGCACTAAGGGGTTAATTTTTATTTACATGGGCTTTTGATACTGTATTCTCCTCAGAGATACTTTGTATCACATTTGTAATACACTCATCCAGCTTGCAGCTCTACAACACAGTGACTCACTGGCTGTCACAGCACTGTGATTACTGCGATTACCTATCGCAGTGATCACAGTGCTGACAGTGCTGGGACCCCTAATTTGCTGTTGAGGGTTTGCCTCGGACACCAAAGGACAAAGCAACAGCATTAACTCAATGAGCGCAGGTCCCTATACAGACCAGAACTCATTGTACCACCTGATGGGATTATTCAGACACCTGTCTTTATTGAACTGAAAGACCATGGTGGAATAATCTCGCCATCAATCAGGAAGGGGTTAAAGCAGATGTATTGGAAATTGCTCTGCAGCCTTACCCAGTCCCAACACAAAAACAAGACCAATGTTATTTGCCTTGTTTACTATCAGTTGTTTATGTTGCTCTTATGTAAAAATCCTATATAGATAAAGTAGAAAGGAATTAGAACCTCCATGTTTTTATTGCTAGTATAAAAATAGGGAAGATGTTTCCTCACTTCCTGTCCCAATGATATTAACAGGAATTTTTTTTTAAATCAATCATTTTTATTTAGTCAATCAATTGCCAGCCACAGGAGATAAGGTGGGAAGTTGGGGTCTCTGTGATATTCCAGAATCTGCAGCAACCAACTTCTTCTGAACTGGCCAGGGCCATTGTTACCACAGAGGAGACATGGGCTGTGGGTTCTATAGGTAGGACATGACCACTGCTGAGATGGACAACATGAAGCAAATGTTTTTAATAGAGCCACAGACAACAGGGGTTCTAACCTTTCCCTACACTAGCCAAAGTCAAGAAAAAAAAACTATTTGGGCCTGATTTCTACTTCAGCTCAAGTTCTTTCAGGCCAGCCCATTAACCTATATTAACACCAACATTTCTTCCATTAAATACAAAATATTAGACTCTGTTACTTTGTTCCAAATGTAAAGAATTTGGGTCTATTTATGAATGACTCACTAGGAAATTCACTCAGTCAATAATTTGCTGCTGTTCGCCCAAGTGAAATTCAAAGACATTCGCCTGGCATTCCACCTCCAATTCGCCCTATTCACAATAAGATAAATGACCACCAGGCAAAAGGCAGCAGCATGTGAACATCTTTTAAATCTCACATGTACAGTACATGAAAGGAATAGGTTTTTACCCATTACGATACTGCTATAACTCTCCATGGTGCTAGAGTTAAAGTGACACTCAGGATTTACATTTTAAAAATGCATTCACGTACATTGCCTATTAACAAAAATGTATCTTATTTGTGTATCACTCAGTTGTAGATCCTCAAATCATCTCTAAATTCATGCTGACACTGTCCTTCCTTCTGGAGGGTGGCTACTTTTGTTCCCCATGGTTCCTGTGTGTGTTGTAAAGTAGCCATCGCTCCAAGCTTGCTCCTGTGATGGACTACAATCTCATGTTTAGTTTACTAATTAGTATTGAGATTGTAGTAAGCTTGGAGTGTTGACTACTTTACAACACACACAGGGACCATGGGGAACAAAAGTAGTCACCCTCCAGAAGGAAGGACAGTGTCAGCACCAATTCAGAGATGATTTGAGGATCTACAGCCGAGTGATACACAAATAAGATACATTTTTGTTAATAATTAAGGTACTAGAATACATTTTTAAGGTTTAACTCCTGAGTTTAGTGTCACTTTAATACACAGTTTCAGCACTAGGAGGGTCAATCAACTAAACTTTATTTTACCAAATTTAAACTAAAAAAAAAAAAAAAAATGACATGAGACATTTTTTACTAATATTCTAGCTGTGTCAAAGGTGTTCTCATCAAGCGGTGGGAGCTCAGTAGGTGGAGCACAGGTTCCCCCTCCTCCTCCTATCTGATAAAACTCCCGCTTCAAGTGCGGTTTTAAGTGCCCAGGGATCTCTGGGGAAGGAGTTTACCGTGATATTACTGCTCATTCACAGCACAATGGAAGTCTGTTCACCACAACCCTTTCTAGGACATACAAAATGCATGAAACCTACCTGGAGAAGATTTTTAAAAGCTGTAGCATTTTCCTCCTTCTGAATGAGCTCCCATAGCACAGGCTGTCAGACATAAGTACAATACATACAGTTAAACAGATTATTAGTCTAAGAATTGTAAGCAAATGCACCCCAGATATATAGGCCTAACTAGAAACAATAATGTGGAAAGCTGATGTATGATGAAGACCATGCGATCCATCTAGCCTGCCCATTTTACTTACTGATGTTTTTCTGTAAGGAGGTATTCTGTTCTATTAATATTTAACCACTTCAAGACCAGGGTGTTAAACCCCCTTCCTGTCCAGGCAATTGTTTCAGTATTCAGCGCTGCGGTACTTTGACTGACGTTTATTCCGTCATGCAACGCTGTACTGAAATTAATTTTATACCATTTTTTGGGGACAGATAGAGCTTTCTTTTGGTGGTATTTAATCACCACTGCTGGTTTTTTTAACTATATAATGAAAAAAATACAGAATATTTAGAAAAAAAACTACGTTATGTTATGAAAAATGTATTACTATCCAAGTTTTTGGTAAAACATAAAAAATTGGGTCATGTCCGGTAAATAGACACTAAACATATCAAGCTCTAAAACTGTGAGCGCCCACGAAAGCGCAAAAAACTACCATACCCAAAATTGGCCATAGGCGATGCTTTAAAAGGTTTTACTGTGCATCAGTTCAGTGTTATCAGTGATTATTGGCCCTAGAATTATTGCTCATACTCTGACGTTCACGGTAATATGTAATGTGTTTGGCGTTGATTACGTTTATATGTGCATGCATGCAGGGTCAGGGGGACTTAAAACATTTTTGTTTTGTTTTTTACTTTTTTTATGTGACTTTAACTTTTTTTTTACATTCAATTTTATTGCTATCACATAGATGGTGCAGAAGTCCCCTATGTGATAGCACAGATACGGTGACAGATCCTCTTCATGGAGACCCCTCTCCAAGACCCCTAATGTCACCTTGGGACCCCAGGGACGTTGATGAAGCAGAGATCTGCTTCAAAAGCTTCTTCCCCAGCTATAGCAGCCAGAGAAATTACAGTTAAAGGCGGAAGTGTTGTAATACACATCACTTCCGCCTTCAAGCATTGGAGGAGAGATCAGCAGTGGGAGAGTGCATGAATAGATGAGAAATCTTACAATGGAGACACCTGTTCTGGTGACCCTGTTGCTTGCCAGGGATTTCCCTCTATTTGGAAGGATATCCTCTTACTTCTTATTGTGGTTATCAGACAGGAAGTGAAGGAAAATGGGAACAAGTTAAATAAACAATCGAAGTCTGGGGTCATTATCAAAGAAGTCATGTAAAAGGTCCAGTGAAAGGAGATTAGAGTTGCTGCCCAACCAACATGTTCTACCTGACATATTACTGGAGCAGACTAGGAAGACTCAAGAAAACATGATAGTTGCTGTGGAGAAAAACATTACTTCCACTTTGTCAATATGTCCATATTAAAGAAACTTCAGGATCCAAAGAAAGTGACAGATGACATACAATTTGGATGTTTGATATCATAACATTAACTCACACTAAAACAGCTCAGAAGATCCTCCTTAGTAGAGTCACTGCTTTCTTTCTCTAGATAAAGCTCCACAGTCTGCAGGATGCTCAGCGAGGAATTCATCTTGAAAGAAGCCCAGAAAGAGCTATTATCCAGCAGGCTAGAGAGGAGGATGGCTTCTTCCAGTCTATCCCTTGTTTCCTTACCTATCTGCTCTGGGTCAGAGAAAGTAAAGAGAAAATCGAGCATCTTCAGAAGATACTGGACATTAAGAGCCCAGCCATAGGAATCACTGTCACACTGTGATAGTTGAGAGACCAGGCCTAGGATGTACGATACTGGATTTCTACACAGTTGGGAGGCATCAAAACTTGATGAAAGAGGTATCGCATCTGCCAGTCTTTGGAGAAAACATTTTCCATTTAAGGATACATTTTTCCAGCAGTAATCTACAACCCACGGGTGAACGTTTTTTAGTGAAAAATATAAAGATGCATTTCTGCATACTAGATCCTTAAAATCCTGCATGTTGATCCCTTTGCAGTCTTCAACCAATGTATAGTTTTGAAAAGCATTACTGTCCCAGGACTTGTAGCTACAGAAGCTGTAATTTGCATTCAGCATCAATGTTTTTACCATCTGTCCTTGGCATAGTCTGGTTACCCAAGCCCTGGTGTCTTCTGGAATGTCGGATAATGAGTTATTACTGCAGACTTTCTCTATCAAGAATGTTTTGTTTTCAAATAGGCATGTCTTTAAAGATTTGGGGTTCATGGATATCCCCTGCCATACATCTGAGCACCTGATATTGTTTCGCAGTTCTCTGACAGTCTCAGAGCTGTTGAGAACATTAGTGCACAGATCACTCATTATTGCTAAGTTATTGTTGCTTCTCGGAAATGATGTGTTTTTGCAGACAGTATTATTAAATTCCAGTGGGAAATATTCCCTGCATACCCACACCCAAAATGAGTCTTCTTCCATGGAAGAAAGGTACCATGCAGCATCAGAACAGGCAGCCTGGAGGTCATAAGTTGTATCTACTGAGTAGCCCGTAGCATTGTAAACATTGCAATACAAAAACACTGTAAAGTTGGAGACACCAGGCAATCCTGGGATAGAATCATTACATACTGCTTCCAGGACTTCAGCATATGGCTGAGGTTCCTCCAAGGCATCAGTCTGTGACCTCTTTGAAATATTATGCACCTTGCCCTCTGTTTCCAAAGCAGGTTTACCACATGTCAGGACTGGTGGAGCTGATGGAAAACTTGTTGATGTAAAACCAAGGGACTGGACATTCCACGATATATTATGTTTAATTCCCCTGTGTGAAACACAACACTGGCATCAATATTGGAAGCAGACTATCTTTTGAAACCACAGTAGACTGAAAGTGTATTTAGGAGATTTTTCACAATTTCCTATCCTAATGACAATGAGGTCACAGGGACAGGAAGTGAGGGTAAATCTTTTTTTTAAAGGGACACAATGGCAGTAGAAAAAACACTATTTATTAATAGGTTAAGGGAAGACTAGGACCTTTGTTACCTCTCTCTTCTTACCACAGTGACAACATTGTGTACAGGACAGGAAGTGGGGGGACACTTTCCACTCAGTTCCCAAAATGGGGAGAATGGAATATGTGATCTTCTCCCAGGGTGTATAGCTCAGGTCTAAATGGGCATTCGGCAGACCTGAACACAGTCACTTAAGAAAGAGGAGGACAACAACAAAGTAAACCCTGGACAGGCTCTGACGCCATCCAACATAGAGCTTAGATCCTGAAGGGGTGTGTAGGAAAGGTCAATGTAAGTGAGTTGGGGGTGGACTAGTAAGAGAACCTGTCTCCTTGCAATGAATAGGCAAAGTGATAGAGTGTCTTAGTACAATTAGTAAACTGCATTCCAGCATCTCTTTTGAGCTTCTCTCACCTCTTATTCTCTGATGTTATCAGGGCCATCTCTAACCAACAACTGTTGTCATTACAATGACAGGTGTACCGTTAATCATGAGAGTCAGTGGATGGCTGTGTGAAGATATCTGCTATTGATCTCTGCAATCAAAGTGTTGCCATTGTTTGAGAAATCAAACAAGACCAAGTCCAATTTCGCCGCAAGTATTACACTAGTGTGTACCTACTTTCTCCACAGGTACATTTATTTTATGAAGCCACACTAGTTGAATATGAAGATTTTTTTTTGTTCTGAAAGTACTTTTAATTCATAATACAATGCTTCTAATATCTAGCCATGTCTTGTTATTCTTTGACGTATGAAGGAGAAAAGGCAAAGTTTTTTATAACATATATACTTGATTATTCAGCATATATGTACACTGTGAATGATAAAGTGGTCTAGTTTATGAGCCTGAACCTGCTTATAACCATCATACTGAAATGCCTGGAAGTATATAGTTACATTAAATACAAGGGGAACATTAAATACCTTAAATACATTAGGGGAAGCACAAATAATTAATTAATGAAACAGTAAACCTACTAAACGCCAGCAGAAAAAAAAGATGTAGTTTGGAAAAAAAAGATGTAACAAAAACTTTCAGAATAACAGTATCAGTGAACACAATACTTACCACAAGAGCAGTTGCTGCAGATTGCCTGTAAAAGGAATGAGATATATGTTGTAAATTTCAGGGATCTGTAAAAAGTGTTTTAGTAAAACCAGTTTAGACTAGAAATAACTGATATGATTACCACAAGTGTCCAGGCCCATATGTCACCTCAATTTATCAGTCATGAATCAAGAACAGGATGGAATTTTGTAAACATGTGTTTAACTTCACCCATATGATACCAAACTAGATCTCTAGTGTGTGAACTATTCCACACAAACCCTGATTCACACCAGATCTCAAAATATTATGTAAAGCAATCCATTCATCCACATCTGGCCATTTGTATTATCTCTTAAATATTGGTTATACATAACCCTACCTACTGAACACTTTCCATTCTGATCGGCATGGGGTATTCCAATCACTGATGACACTCTATTCATCAGGGTTCCTTTCATTCGAAAGACTTTTCTGTTCAAGTTGTCATATACAGATCTTTCCATTCGTTTCATAAGATTGTAATGAAGGTCTTCTAGTACTTCCCAAACAACTTCCTCTGGATTCCCCTCTGCATCAGCAGCGTTGGTTCCGCTTTCCTTATCCTTAGAACGGTAAATTATATCCAACACATTTTGTACTTCCTCCTGTTCAGATAAAGAATTAAATCTACTGGAGTTGGCGTGTTTGTCTTTTAAGCTTTCTGAAAGCATACTGAAAGGCCTATATTTCCCATGTGACGCAACTGAAATCCCTGACTGCACATTGACAATAGGTGTCCAATTATTGCCTTCAATTGGCAACAGGAGTTTTAGAATCTGAACAGGATGAAGGCCACAGTTACTGTGACCCATCAAGAAACATAAAACCCCTTGGAGAGTTGCAGTCTGTGTTAAGGTTCCACTGAGAAATGCTTGAAACAGAGTGTCCATCAAACCACTGAGCATCTCCCAGTTATGACCCAGAAGCCGAAGAGCATTCTGACTGTTGCTAATTGACTTGAAAACACTCTGTAAAAAGCTGAGGAGAACGCTCCAGTTTTGACTTCCTCTTAGGGAGATAAGAAAGTCATGTAGCTTTAAGAGTGGTAAAGTTGGGGATCTTTCCACTGGAACCTGGAGAAACTGTTGAAGTAATGTGTCCCAGATTTCACCCTCCTGCTCATTCGATTCTTCTTTCTGTAAATATGTCGAAATATTATAAAGGAATTCCGACAGACGATTTTTCTTTGCTTTGTTTTTCTGAATCCCAAGTTGTGATGGATCACTTTCTGGTGTACTCCAAAAAGATCCGAAATTAAATACCATTTGATCCAGAAGCAGTTTGATGTCATCAGAGTGAAATTTTGCTTTTGTGTTAGACATTATGGGAAGATGATGTTTCATTTTAGATTTCCATTTGGAAAAAATATTTTCTAAGTTGCTTTCCTTCCTTTCTTGATTTTTTCCAACATCTGTGAAAATAATAAATGTCATCATCTTTGTGGCAGCAACCTCAAAGCAGGCAACAACATTTTATACGAATGAAACTTTTCTATTATGCTATTTGCTTACCAACCTTCCTTTCAGATGGCTAAATTAAAGTTAAAAAAATGCAGTCACAATTATATGACCCAATTTTTTCAGACCAAAGGGTAAGCTGGTTAGTATAGCACCATGCAGGACCCGTAAGATCACATTCAGTACTGTAGTAGCTCCGTCTACTACAGTACTTTACAGGATTCCCAGCAGTCGTTCAGGTATGACATATGCATAATAATTTATACCTGGAGTTCAGCTTTAAATTAAAGTGAAACTAAATTCAAGGGTTAAACCTTAAAAAAGGCATTTAAGTAACTTTGTTCTCCTTGGTCCCTGTGTGAGTTGTAAAGAAGCCACTGCCCCAAGCTCGCTCCCATGATGGACTACAATCTCATGCTTATTTTACTAATTTGTATAAAGATTATAGTCCATTACAGGAGTGAGATTGGAGCAGTGGCTACTTTACAACACACACAGGGACCATGGGGAACAAAAGTAGCCACCCACCAGAAGGAAGGGCAGTGTCATCACCAATTCAGAGATGATTTAAGGATCTATAGCTGAGTGATACACAAATACGATACATTTTGTTAATAGGTAAGGTACTTGAATGCGTCTTTAAGGTTTAACTCCTGGGTTTTCTGTCACTTTAATAAGTTGATGTTTTGCTACTGCTGTGATACAGAAAAAGTCCTGGCTGCCATTTAGAAAGCCAGGATTTGCCAGCAAGAGGGCTGTGTGAGTGGCGGTGAGAGAAGAGGAACTTGGTTTATGGCGTACACCCAAGATACTTTTTTGAATGTCTTTAGGGCAAATGCCTTAAGTCCGCAACTACTTAAAGTGACACTAAACTCAGGAGTTAAATCTTAATAATGCGTTCAAGTACCTTAACTGTTAACAAAAATGTATCTTATTTGTGTATCACTCGGCTGTAGATCCTCAAATCATCTCAGAATTCATACTGACGTTGTCCTTTCTTCTGGAGGGGGGCTACTTTTGTTCCCCATGGTCCCTGTGTGTAGTAATGTAGCCACCGCTCCAAGCTCGCTCCTGTGATGGACTACAATGTCAATACAAATTAGTAAACTAAACATGAGATTGTAATCCATCACAGGAGTGAGCTTGGAGCGGTGGCTACTTTACAACACACACAGCGACCATGGGGAACAAAAGTAACTAACCCTTCAGAAGGAAGGACAGTGTCAGCACCAATTCAGAGATGATTTGAGGATCTACAGCCGAGTGATACACAAAAAACATACAATTATTTTAACAGTTAAGGTACTTGAATGTATTTTTAAGATTTAACTCCTGAGTGTAGTGTCACTTTAAAGAGAAGATAAAATGTTTTTAAAGATTTTAGTTATAAGTATGAAAAAGACCAAATTGAAGTAAATGATTTTAATGTGTGTTAATGTTTTAAAAACCTATTATCTATGTACAATATGTAACTTTGTACCCACATGGGCGTTGTATGCACAAATGTTTGGTTTACGGTGCTAACAGTCTTGTTTCTCTTCAAGTGTATCAGAGAGGGTCTGTATAATGGAAAAAAACAACAGACTATCTGCAGTCTCTAGTGATCTATTATGCATAATTAACAATAATCTTAATTAATTAGGATTAGTAGGCCATGGTGGATTGCTTAATACATATCTTAATACATATCTGCAAAGTTTATAATACTATTTGCAGATTGTGCAAGTTAAGTATTGTATTAATTTCTAGTGAAATGTCTATGTCCATTGTGGGGTTGTAAAATTGAACTTTTTTATTTTTATTTGCACGTACAGGATGATTAATGTAAATACTGTTGTGTACAATAGAAGTGATAAAAATGACCCTTAAACAGTCAATAATTTACAGGTTCCAGAATGCCATGCTAGTGTTAAGTACAATCTGATTTACCTTGGCTTGCAAGAGGGACCAACATCAGCATAATCCACAAGAGTTTTTGCCATTCCATATCCGTATTATGGGGTCTAGTGGTCCTCTGATACAAGAAACATGACAACTCCTATGTAACCTGAAGAGTCACATCTGCCCATCTATGTCTCTGTACAAGTCGTGCAGCATCTTCACTGTTATCCGTGCATAGGGAAACAGGATCTGTAACATGACATGAAGGATCTGTCACTTGAGCATCACAGTAGCTTTCCTCACCTGAGCAGTTTCTGGAGTTACAACCATTATTTACAACCAGTACTCATGTTACACTTTCGATTGACTAGATACATGAAAGAAAAGCCATGGAAAGCATCAATTTCTTACAATTAGTATAGCTGTATGGATAATGTTAATAGTTACAATAAAAATTCAGTTGTTGCCTAACCCAGGATATAACGTCTTTAATATTACGCTCAGCCTTCAGAAGGTAAATATATTAGACACACCTTTATCAAAGTAGGAATTCACTATATTTTGCTATATTTGTACCACATTTCCACTTCTCTCGCTTTTAACCTATTTAACAACTTGCAGGGTTTTTCATTATGAAAGATTTTATTTTAAGTCCATTCATAAACTTCGGTCTGGGGAAGTCAATAATCTTCTGAAGAAGGTTTGCTGTTCTGCTGATTTTTACATCACAAAATGACCTTTTCCTGCCACTTTGTTCTGTTGTTAAACAAAGTGGCCAGGGATCCTCAAATCATCTTTGAATTGGTGCTGACACTGTCCTTCCTTCTCAGGGCTGTAGCTACCATGGGGCGAGTGAGGCACTCGGCTCAGGTGCAGCTGAGAGGGGGCGTAGCCAGGGCCAGCCTTGCTGCGCCCCCTCATCCCTGTTGCCATGGCAAGCATAGGGCACCATTGGCAACAGGGGAGCCAAGCGGCCAACACAGCCGCGGCTCGGCAGGGAGAAGATGAGCGGTACAGGCTTCAACCCCTCCTCGTGTCAGGATCCAGAGCACCCCCAGGTGGTGCTGGAGCCATGTCCTGCAGTTCCTGTGCTCGCCTGCGGGTGTCTCCAGCAGCCAGGGACTGTAAGGAACCTGCAGCTCCAGTACTCACCTGCGTGTGTGCCCCAGCTGTGACGGATCATCCCATCACCTGGTGCTTCCTGGGAGGGTATTTAGGCCCTCCCTGCAGTCAGGAAGCTGGGTCAGTATTGTGTTGTTAAACCTGACTGATGCCCATGTCCTGAACCTTGCTTCCTATCTGAAAACCTGTCACCGACCCGGCTTGTTACCCGACCACTCTCCTTTGAATCCTGTTTCTGTACCGCGCTGCCCTCCTGTTAACTACCCGGCTTGTACCTGACCACTCTTGTATCCTGAGGCCTGCTGTATATCTGCAGGCCTGTTACCCCTCCTTGTTGCTGTTCCCCCTGGCTGTATGTGTCTGTTTGTCCCAACGGTGGGTTTGTTACTTCACTGCTAAACCTGTGGGGGGTTGATGGGGTTTGTAGTTTTGTTTGCTGTGTACAAATAAACTGTGTGCATAGAACCCTATCCTGTGTGGGCATATTAATTTGGTCATCCTGCGTGGGTACCTACATGTGGTGTGAGGACGCCTGTGCATGGTACCCTGACACCTCGGATCCTGCCACTCTCCCCACCTGTGTAGGCAGAGGACTCTGTGTCCTCAATCTCTTTCTATTTCAAAAGGGAAATGTCAGGGGTCTGTTTAGACCCCTTTACATTTCCCTGAAGCCCCCCAAAAAGTAACACATTTTTTTTTTTTTAATCAATACATAAATAATAATTTAATCCGGAAGCCGGCGGAGAGGTGAGTATGGATCAAAAGAACTTTGATCGATCAAAATAATTTTGATCGATCAAACAAATTAACGATTAATCGAAGGATTAATCGTTAATTTCCGCAGCCCTAAAAAAAATAAATAAAAAAATAAAACACAAACTCCCCTCCCCCACACACACGCAGATAACATACACATGTACCAAAGCGGTGCTTTGTTAGAACGCATCACAGTACTTGATTTTTTTTCTTTTTTTACACAATGATAAAAAAAATTATAAAAAAAAACACACACACATTAATGCACACATATTACTAGACATGTGCAAAGACTAAAAATTTGTTTTGGACAAAATGAACGGAAACTAAAAATTTTCTCAATAGTTTCGTCAAACAAAACAAATTTTTATGCTGGTTTGGATTTGGCCACCAGCGCATTCTGCACATGCGCGCCGCCATTCTTTTCTATTTTTGCCTCGGGCGCAAAAGGAGCT